AGCAAAATAATTTTAAAAATTAATATTAGATAATATTTAATAAAAAATATTTTTAAATAGTCAATAATTAAGAAATAGGAAATAGATAAAAAAATATATATAAGTGAGATAAAAAAATATATAAAAAATTCTAAATTCTTACCTTTTCTTTTTTGAGAATTTGAAACTCCATTATTTTGAGAGATTTTACAAAAGAATTATTTAATTTTTCTATAAATTTTCCATCTAAAAAAATATTTTATCCTAAAATATTTAAAAAAAAATTTAAAAATTAAATTACTCAATTTAAATTATCCATCAAAATAATAATATCGTAGGATTTTTGAGTTTTCCCAGACCGTATTCAATTATGATTACTCGCTGACGCATCAAACACTATATTACCTCGTGAACATATCCTTTTCTTAAAAAAAAATGTTAAAATTATAATATCTACTACTTTTTACTTTTTACAACCTAATGAGGGCTTGCGGGTCACATTTTTGGGTTCATTCCACAGTGTTTTTATCAAATTGACCATTTTTTTTTCTGACTTGGTTCTACGGTATACTGTCCAAAGTGTTTTTATTTTATTTTATTCTGGTAACAAAATGTTAATGGTTACACGTAGAAGTCATGTATACGTGAACAATTAAAAAACCATTGATTTAATAAGGCGTCACTTTAAAGTTTCTAACTCATACCAATAGGTCACTCTACTTAAATCACATTTTATTTCATTGAAATTAACAATTTACCTAAAATCTAATATCGTATAGTCACCTAGGTTGAATTTGCTAGGTTTTGTAATGCTTTAAAAATTATTTTAAGATGATATTTGATTAATTAATCATGTAAAATTTTCTATTTTAATAATACATAAAATTGAACTTTATAAAAATTGTATATAAAATATAGTAAATTGAATGAAAATCTTATGAAAACGCTATAAAAATATGAAACACAGGACAACTCTTTATGAAAGCGCAGAGGAGAAAAATTAAACTTAATTTAAGGGATAAACAATTTACCTAAAATTACTTTAATATTAAAGCTGTTAGGAAAAAGTCACACCTTTCATATTAATATTTTTAGAGAAAAAATAATTTCACGTTTAATGAAAAATACAAATAAACTATAAATATCTTTATTTTAAAATCATCTTTTTCTATTTGTTTTATAAAATTTTAAAGTTCAAAGCGTAGGGTTTATCAGATATTTTAGTCATTAACTACTGCTTTTTTAGTTACTTTTATTTGACTCTATTTTTTTTTAATAAATTTTCTGCTTAATAATTTTTATTTGTAAATTAATTTAAATATTCTGGAATAATTTAAAAATAAAAGATAATCCTAAATTGAATTCATTTATTAAATTCAAATGGACTTAAATACAAAATTTATACTTAAATTTAAAATAAACTAGTATTACATTTTTATTTTATTTAAAATAAATAATTTTACTATAATTAAAAATATTTTACTTCAAAATTTTATTTTATTTGATATCATGCTATTATTTCCTATATTTAAATATAAAGATAAAATTGTCCCAACATAACTGGTTGGAATGCTACTATACATACAAACGCGTGTATGTATGTAATATATATATATAGGAAAATTAAAAATTATACTTATATTTTTTATTACTAAATATTTTATACTTTTTGTCAAATTTTTTTACATGTGTATTGATATTTTATAATATTTTTTGTTTTTTAATTATATATACTGTACTTTTCATATATGTGTCAAATAATATATATTTACTTATTATTATAAGATAAAGTGAATACTATTTTTTTATTTTCACTTTTTTACATTTATCATTTAATCATCGAAACTTTCTTTTATTTGCTAATACATACTTATTTCTACGATCTCTCATTTAATAATCACAACTTTCCTTTCAAATAAAATCATATTTAATATATTGATACAAAAATTTAAATTGATTCTACTCTCTTTTTATTACCATTATTGTAGCACGTGTATTAAAAGAACTCCATTATTTTATTTTTTAATTTTTTAATTTAAATAAAATACTTATTTATACAAATAATATGTATATATATATTATTAGATTTTTTTAGATAAATTAAAAATTTAATTAAAATTATTTATATCACATTTTTAGTACATTTTATATTTATTTTAAATTTTAAATTATCATAATATGTTAATAATACTAATAATATTATTGATATCATTAATTTTAGTTTATCAATATTATTATTAAATATATGTATAATTTTGGCTTCTATTAAACATATAAATCATAATTTTCATTGAAAAATTCATTTTTTTTTATATATACCACATGTGTCATCTATTTAAAACATTACAATTTAATTTGAATTGATAAAATTCTTCATTTATATTTACATATTTAATGCGACTGTATATCTAAGATTTAAATTTGATATAATTTATTAAGTTACTTAAAAAAAACTTATTAATTCAATAGCATTTTTTTTATATATGAAAATTTAACTTGGTAAAAGAGAATTTACATCCCTTAGATATCTTATCTAATCAATTAAGTTATATCATGTCTGATCAATTAAACTAAACACCTTATTATTAATTTAACTAAGTATCACCAAAGTGGAACTTCTAATCTTGTATTTAAACAGATTAATTTTTTAAAATACAAAAGAGACTAAATCCTACATTTTTTTTATTAATTGACCGAAGCTAATGATTCGATATTAAAAATTGTTTAGGTTAAGGACCTAATATTTTACTTGTAAATATAAAACATTTTGGCAACATAAGTTGTGGGAGATAGACGATTGTCAACCGTGGAGTGGAGTTGACGGTGACCGCATTCCCCAAATCGGATAAAGGGCCCTGATTTCATAAATCCTGCGGGACCTTTTCTCTCTCCTCCACGCCTCTCTCTCAACCTCCTCTCTTCTTCATGCTCTTTCTCTCTCTACAATTCGATCTCCTCCGCAATCCCCTGGTCAATGCAGGTACTCTCTCGCCGTTTTTTCACTCTCTCTTCCTTCAATTCTTTATCTGCTTCCCCCTTAGTGTGCCAATTTTGCATTTTATCGAACCCTAATTTTTTATTTTTTATTTTTTTATTTTTAGGATTTCGATTCTCAGGTTGCAAATGTTTTTCGCTCGCTTTGCTTCTGCTTATTTTGTTTTCTTTTCGGTTGACAATTTTGAATTTCGAAACCTTTTTCTCGCGCGTACTTTCAACTGAATTCCGTTGTCTTCTCATGCTCCATTACGTTGGTTCAAACTTGGAACTGTTCTTGCTTCTTTGTTTTCATCAATGTGCGTTATATTCAGTAACGTTGGTGTGCCGAGGAACCACGATAGCACTCGTTTACTGGAATTTTAGTTTATCTGTTGGTGCATAGCATTATAATGTATGTATCATTTGAGCAAATAAGGTTTATTTTCATCCAATTCCTATTGTGTCTCGAAGTTAAAACCGCTTATATTTTATGGTTCCCCAGCTTTTGTACAGTGATGTAGTTTATTTTGTAAGAAAAACCAGTTTGTTTCTGCAAGGGTTGTGGAAATTTTTGGCCATTCTGGTGAAGCGTGGGTGGGTGTGGCATTAAGTATTCGGTCTCGTTTTTTTTTTTTTTGAGGTGTACATGCTCCCACTCATCTTAAGTGCGGGTTGAGATTGCATGAAGTTGTATGCTGTATTGATTATAGTTCGTGGTTATTGACTTATTGCAGATACATTTCAAGTATCTGATTACTCGTACTTTTTTATGGTTTAATGGCTTGCTGTCAAGAGATCCTTTACTGTGTGAGTTGCTGAGAGAAAATATGGTGGAAGATACTCGATGTATGTGTTGGTTTAGTTAACATTGACGTATGGCGGGAAATACTAGATTTGATTTAAGTGCAGCTAAATCAGAGGAATTGGGTTTCAGGGGGAGCTTTACAAATGGGCAGAGAGAGAGTTTGGTAAATGGAACTTTGGAGAGGTCTGCCAGCTTCCGTGAGGGTAATGAGGGGCAGATGTTTGTTTCGGGTGCTAATTTGTCGCGGGGGAGTTCTACATCAGCAGGGGATTTGGCTTCTGTTGCTCAATGCTTAATGTTAGATCCAATAACCATGGGAGATCAAAAATATACTAGGTCAGGTGAGTTAAGACGAGTTCTGGGGATATCTTCTGGAAATACTCATGAAGATTATGCTTTTGGAACTGCTAATCTGAAGTCTCCCCCTCCAGTGGCTACAGAGGAACTAAAACGCTTCAAAGCAAGTATTCAAGAGGCTTCTGTCAGGGCTAGGTAGTTTGAGGAACTTTATACAATGCCATTAATTCTTTCTTCAATTCATACCAATCTAATCTTTCTCCCCATTCAATATAATTTTTAATCAATTATGTAACAGAGAGCTTGCATTTTCAGCGTATATAACAGAATGCCTATCATTTTAATTGTTTTTCCCCCTGTTTTTGGAATTTATTTTGACTAAATAGTCCAGAACTGTTTAAAAACTGATTTCCTGAACTTGTTTGTCACTTGATTAGTCCACTATTCTGAAGTTTTAAGATTCCTCTCAGATATAGATCAAAAAGGTTGGATGAATCCTTAGACAAATTGAACAAATGTTGGGAGGCTGTAAGCTTAAAGAAGCAACTTCGGAATGATTTGTTGCCGAATGAAAGGCCGGGTGGACCACACTTCTCAAAGATGGGAAATCAGACTCATCGAAGCTCATCAGAGCTTGTGAATCAAAGACTAGAGGACAGACCTATGAATGTCATTCTGAATAAGCGCATCCGCACATCAGTTGCTGAGACACGGGTTTGTAGCCGGTGTTTTTAATTAATTGTTGCATTTCCTGTGTAGCAACACTGGTTGTATGACATGTCAATTACGTATTATTGCATTTCTTTTTATTGTAAAACTCATCAGGAGAATAGAATTCCAATTGTACATCACAGTAAAATGGAATTGTTCTGGTGCATAGGAATTAGATTTGGGTAGGGTAGCATGATGTTAATCTTCTCATGATTCTTGTACAACTATATATATCTTTTTGTTGCGTGTGCTTCTCTGAATGACACACTATGGTGATTGACCTGAGTGGAAGACTGGAATATTTAATGCTGCAACCTTAGTCATTTTAATAAGGACACACATGGCTGACTACAAATGGTTTTTATCTCTTGGAAACTGACTATGCCATTGCCATGTTCCTTTTTTTATTTTATTTTATTTTTTTACCTAAATCCTAATGACTACATATTCTTCTGTCGTATCATAACTTCATTTTTCAAAACAGTCATATTTACTCTATATATTTTGTTGGAAAAATACCAGGCTGAAGGACTAAGTAATAGCTTTGCAAGGCAGTCTTTGGCCATTGGAAAGGATAGAGACAACATGAAGGATGGTAGCAGAGGTTGTGATATTGTTGAAGAGAAGATTCGAAAATTACCTGCAGGTGGAGAAACATGGGATAGAAAAATTAGAAGAAAACGTTCCATGGGTACAGTTGCCAGATCCATTGATGGTGAAGGAGAGCTAAAAAAGGCTACGCCTTTAAGGCTAGCTAATGAGTCAGGTCTGCAGGTCTCTGAAGCCCAAGGTTTGAGGTAACGTAAATTTATGAAATGCATTGATATCTGAATTCTGATATTGTCAAGAAAAAGTGATGATTCCTGAGGTTTAAGAAGTTCTGAGTCTTCTGATCAGCTGTAAAAATCAGTTATGGAACATGTTAATGCATATCAAGTAAATTTATCATGTTGAATATATGAATATTTTGTGTTTATGCGTGTATATCAACTTGTCAAGTCAATTTATCATATTGAAAGAATATTATGTGTTTTTGCAGTTATTAGTTCCTAAATAAAAAATATCTTTATTGGAGAAGAGTAGAAAGGTACAAAATGGGTAATATTTGAGATGGACTGGCTTCTGGACATTTTATTTCTAAGGGGAATTTAATGATAGTATATAACTGGTTTTCTGTAATTTGTAGCATTTCTTAGTACATTTTACGCCTTTCATTATTTGGGAAATGGCATGCAATCTATTTTGTGGTTGCTGCATCTTGCTTGGGAACGAATAATTGGATTTTTCAATTTTCAGGGCATGGACTGTGTAGAAAGAGAAAAAGGATCTAGAGAGAGAACCCTTATTTCTTTGAAAATCATTACTCAAGTGTATAGCATGTGAGTGTTATTTTATTGTATCTTTAGAGGCTATCTGCTGCCTATAGTGTAAGATTATGGTACAATACTGATAACATGCATATATGTTCAGTAAATGGTGATAAATACAGAAGATATAGCTTCTCTTTCAACACGTCTGCTCAAGTTAGAGTAGATAAATCACTTTCATCGTGTTACAAAAATAGGAATTTAGAATGAGTGTTGCAATAGACAATAACAACCTACATGGTTAGACACTAGCTACTACTAGGGCTTTGCTGAGTCTGATTTTGCACTTAGAGAGATATTTTAAATTCTAAACTTTCCTTGGATTTAGACATTTTTAAAATCATTTGTTATGTTATTTTTTTTCTTTTTGAAGATGACAATGCGTACAACTTTCCTTATATCATTTGTATTCTTGGTGCATAGCTACTAATTTTATTAATGTCAACCAATGGGGTGTACATGAAAATGCTTTGATCTCATGGTTGACTGATCTTAGGCATCTAACTATTCTCAAAGAGTTGCCTATGGTGACTTGATCCCTATTAAGAGAGGGATAGGGAGAACCAGTGAATGGATATGTATGTTTGAGTTGCGCCGCAAAACATATATTTGTATTAGGAGTTTTAAATATGAGTGGTCACTCTAATCAACATAATTACACATCATATAGGGTCCGTTTCTTTAAAATTAAAAAAGAAGTGTTTCTAAACAAGTGCTTTTAAAAAAACATGATTCTTTAAGAAGCAGATAATTTTTTCTTAAAAAAAGCAGAAAACTGTTTCTTAAAAAAAAAAGTTTAGACAAACACAATATATAGTAAAAAATTGTTTATTTTATTAGAAAGAAGCGATTTAATAGGAAAAAAGTTTTAAGCAAACAGACCCATAATCTGCCCTAACAATCCCATATATTGGGAGTTGGCAATATATAATCAAGTCAGAACATGCAGGTATATTTACATCTCTTTTTTAGTTGTGGTATCTTTCCTGCAGGTCCTTTTCTCCAATTTTTAAGAAAATAAGTATGAATGAGGAGGATAAGAAATAAACCCTTCTCACACAATGGCTAATATATAGGGAAAAAAGTATATTAATTCATAGTGAATCACTTACTCATCTTCCTTTTTTCTTCCCGCCAAGTTATTATTGGTCATGCTCTCATCATCATGCATTCTCTTATTTGAAACCATTGACATTTCTGCAGTTAATTTTTATTACAACTTTTCTGAGTTGTTTGCTGTGTGATGTCACCCAACTAAAATTAGATGAGGAGTTTTATTCCCCTCCCCTCCTAAAAATTGAACCAAACAACAGAAGTTTATAAAAATCCCTCCTCCCCACCCTCCAACCAAAAACTATGTAAGAGTTTTATGATCTTAAAATGTACATTTGGCTACAACAGTGTTAGAGAATGTCATACACATGAGCAACACTAGTTGGTTTAGTTTCTGTTACAGTCAATTCTGTTATGTCAGTCTGTTAATCTGTTACAACTGACCAGATTCTGTTACACAGATTCACAGTCTCGGTCTGTTGCACCAGACTTGGCTTCAAACGAATGTGTAAATATAAGGACTCTGTTTGGTGTTCATTTGGTGAATGAAATTCACATATCACTTGAGATTCTCTCATTAATTTTCTGCTTTTGCTTATTTTCTCACTCAATTTACTCTTAACAAACAGCAAAAAAATAAACTGTTTGCAACATTCTGTCTCACAGATCAGGATATTCTGGCAATAATAGCAAGCCCAATGGTGCTTCCCTGCCTGCTACTTCCAATGCATGTACGACTACCAATAATGAGCAAGAAAAGGTGCCAAGGGGTTCAGTGGATGGGTCAAATATGGAGCGGGTTGTGCTTAAAGGAAATAAGTTTGTATCTTTCAATTTTTCTTTCATATCCATGATGCATCTATGTAGTCCTTTGCTATAATCAGCTTTTAATTCTCTAACATAATGTTATATCACAACTTTACAACTAATCTCTTTATTTTTCATTTTATTTTTAGGTTTAATGTTCGTGACAACAATTATACAGGTGCTACTTTGATAAAGGGAAAAGCTTCAAGGCCACCGCGAACAGGTGCTTTGATGACCGGAAATTCTTCTGTTTCTCGTTCATCTGAAATACTTGAAGCTGAGGAAGAACTTTCAAATGTGAACAAGACTCATTCAGCAAGTGGGACTACCAATCGTAAGCGTCCTTTGCCTGTAGGATCATCTTCATCCCATATGGCCCAATGGGTACAGAGACCCCAAAAAATTTCTCGCACTCGAAGAGCAAATGTGGTATCCCCTGTCTTGAGTTGTGATGAAGTGCATATGTCATTAGAAGGTTGTTCCCCTTCTGATGTTGGTACCAGAATCACTTCTACTACAACTAGTGGATTACATATTTCCAATGGTGGTATCAACAGTGGCATTCAACCGGGTAAAATTAAACATGAAAATGTTTCTTCCCCAACCAGATTATCTGAAAGTGAAGAATCTGGTGCAGGAGAAAATGGTGAAAGTAAATTGAAGGAAAAAGGATTAGAAAGTAATGGAGTTGATGAATATGCCATAAATAATTCTTATACCTCCATGTTAACAATGAAAAAGAAAAAATTACCCAACAAGGAAGCAAATGGAGATGGTCCGCGTAGACAAGGAAGGGGTAGTAGGGGCTCTTCAGTTTTGAAGAATGGCATCTCGCCTATGAAAGAGAAGTTAGAGACTTCAACCTTGATGAAGCCAATTAAAAATGTGAGGCTTGCTTCTGATAAGAATGGAAGGTATAATTGTCTCTCTCCTGGTAGTGGAAACAAATGGGTTATCTTCCCACTACTATAAAGAAAATTAGTGTCATTTTTTATTTAAAAAAATTGTCTTTGTTTCAGTAAATCAGGGCGTCCTCCTTTGAAGAAATCATGCGATAGGAAAGCTATTATTCGTATTGGGCATCCATCGACTAACAATTCTCCAGATATTGCAGGTATTTTCATATGTTTTAGCCACTACTTGTTGCATTAAATGAAATAGATTTATGAAAAATATTTACTTACAACAATATGGTAAACTGTTATTTACTCACCTGTTTATACCTATGTGTATGTGGTAATATAAACCTTAATAATGTTTTCCGACTTCCAACTCTTTTGTTTGCAAACTGTTTCTGCTGTTCCTCTTTTTTACCCTTTTTCTTATTCATTGGAATTACAATGACGGCACCAGGGTTTGAACATAAGATCCTATACATTCTACCCCAACCCCCCAAAATTCTTTTTTACCCTTAATTCTTCTAGAGAAAGACCCTTAATTAATATGTTAAATCCTAACTTCTTCTGTCCTGCGTCCCTTAATATGTTAAATTAATGTTTTCTTTCATGAGGAATGTTAGCAATTCACTCGCTAAGACACTCTCTACTATTGATTAAATCTTTTTGAAAAGTACAAAATCATGAGTAGGTCTCATTAAATAAGAAGCAAGACCCACAAGTTTTGGTGATTTCCAATAAAATTTAGTCAATACTAGTGTGTTAGAACTTAGGAGTGTGTTTTTAGCAATTTTCTTTTATACTATTGCCCTTTTTTTAAGGGGGGCCATTAGTTATCAAGTTAATTCTGATTGGTATTTTCTGGGAAATTTTGTGCATACAAGATTTATGTGATTGTTTATTGCCTGTTCATATTCAATTTGAATTTTTTGTATAATGTACTAAACCATCTGAAATGCCAGGGGAGTTAGATAATGACCATGAGGAACTGTTATCTGCTGCTAACTTTGCTAGCAATGCCAGCTGTATGTTACTAAGCTCTAAACTGGTTTATGCTTTCGCAGTTGTATACTTGCCAGTCGCTTTGGTGTGTATGCACATACATGTAAAGTTTTCCATTTATATGTTGCTTTTGACTTTGGCAGATATTGGTTGTTCTAGTCCATTTTGGAAGAAACTGGAACCTATTTTTGCTCCTGTCAGCCTGGAAGACATGTCCTACTTGAAGCAGATGGTGGGTGCTTATGCTATACTCACTTTTATGATATTTAAGTGGCACTTAATGGAAGCATTGCTTTCGCCTCCTTTTATGTTAACCCTTTTATGTTGTTCTTTGATCAGGTTAAAACAACAGAGGTTGATCTAAGATGTTTGTCTCAAATGCTTGGCCTTGGAAGTGATTTGCTGGTGATGCATAAGATGCTAATAGTTATTTGCTGCATTTTTCCTGTTTGATACATCATAACTGATAATTGGCATTGTACTTGGAATAAATTTTAAGGACTATTTTAGTCTGCATGTTTATTTGTTTTTGTTGCTATCTGGATTTGACTTTCCATCTAGCTGGAGTACATTTATTTTTGTTGATTACATGAACCACCTCCAAACCAAAGTGAATCTAATTATCAATTCTGAATGTTCATGTGTGAACAAGAAAAAGGAAATAAGATTCCTTTCATATCAGGATTATCTCATATGCTTCTTACAGTCTAAATATTCTTCCATTCTTTTGCACCACATATATTTTAGCCAATAAGATGCATCTCATTGCGTTGACATGGTAACACCTCTTCTATGATTTGATTACTGAAATTTGTGTCTTGATCTTATTTCATTATAACTTGTTGCTCATTACATTAATACCTCTTCTAGAATAGGTTTAATGTAACCTTTGTCTCTGTCTCTCTTAGAAAAATTTCTAGGTTCTCATCCATTTGTTATTTGATAATTGATATCTTGCATGACAATAATTAAAGGCATTATGCTACCTTGAAAAACTACAGAGCATGAATTAAGTTTCAAAATAGGAGACATGAACTAAAATGTTAAATTAGTTAAATTTCAATATTGCCGGTGTAGAGACTATTATATCATTAATTAATAAGAAATCATTTTAGATTCGACTTTTATATTAATTATCACAAATGTCAACAGTTTTCAATTATATTGCAATTCATGATTAGAAGACATTATAAAACATTGCACTTTTAATGTATTTGAATTAAAAATTTAATGTTAATTATTCTTTATTTTAACAATTTTCTTTCATTTTTATTCTCAGGATAGACTTACACATACAGAAAGCCCTCTGTCGCAAAGAAGCATTGTAAATCAAACTGATTCCAAAGAGGCATCTTCAATGATTGACATGATTGATCAACATCTGGATGTTAATATTTTGTGCAGACAAGTGGTTTCAGAAGCAAACAAAATTGCACCATTGTATCAAAGAGTATTGACAGCTCTGATCATTGATGATCAAACTGATGAAGAAACAGTTGGAGATGGAAATACTTATTTTGAGTGTGATAGAGACGATTCTTGTCAGGTGGCTTGCTTCTTTCAGGGTGTTGAGAACCAATCCAGCATCAAGACGGAATATGAATTCGACTCTGACAAGGTTTCTTGTAATGGGAATGCTACCTTTACTAGTTGCACAAACATCCATAATCAAGAACTTGGCCTTTTTTTGCAAATGGATCAGGAATCATTGCATCCAGAAGCTGAAAGGCTGTCCATGTTATCTGAAATTGGCAATGATGAGTCAACGGGCATGCATATAGTTTCTTGCTCGTCATCTTTCGGTAGCCATTTTGAGCAAATGAGTATGGAGGATAAACTCTTACTGGAGCTACAAAGTGTTGGCCTATATCCAGAACCAGTGGTAACCTTCTAATTCTTAGAAACTTTATAAAGCCAATGGTCTTTGCAGTTTGTTTATATGAGAGGTTTTCTGTATGTTTCAACAACTGTCTTCCCTCTTTCCCCCCTTTTAATTCTATGCATGCACAACTGTGCATGAAATTGGATTGTTAAGAGATATGAACTATTTATGTGGTTTTATTGTTTGCTTCACCTATATATCTAAAAAAAATTAAATTTCAGCTCTGTAAAGTTGGCCTAGGCATTGTTTATGGTTCAAGCCAATTGACTCTTGCGAGATAGTGTCTTGGAGATTTACTATTCATATGCCTCTGCCTAATTTAATCTTTTAGGATGAGTTATGCCCGGCTATTTTTTGCAGAACATGATCTTTATATGTGCTTGCCGATGGACATTATGTTTAATAGTTTAGCAAGTGTTGAATATGATTAATATTGTTTATTTTTAAATCAATGCTTTGATTACTAACTGATCTTCTTGTGGTTGTCTTATGAAAGCCTGATCTTGCTGATGGAGATTGTGAAGCTATTAATCAAGATATTATTCAATTACAGAAGGGACTCTTCCAACAGGTTTTGATTCTTTTGTTTTATGCTTGATATGTCTGCTGAAAAGTAAGGTAGTTAATTGTTTAGGGAGAAGAATCTGCTTACGGTTTTTAGTTATTCTTGATTTATTTATTTACAAGGTTGTCTATACTCTATTTGACCAATTTTGCAGGTCAATAAAAAGAGAGAATACTTTATGAAACTTATTCAAGCAGTAGAACAAGGCAGGGAAATGGAACAACGGTACAGTATCTAATAGTATACAGTTTATCTTATTTTCATTAATTATTTATACTTTTGATGTTGATACATTGTTTCATTTGTTTATCCTTTCTATGTTGATAAATTATTATGGAAGTAGTCTGTATATAGTGTATATGTATCTATATGCTGACCCTCACCAATAGCTAATATATATTGTAATAATTTGCAGGGCCCTTGAGCAAGTTGCTATGGACAAACTTGTTGAGTTAGCTTATAAGAAAAAGCTGGTAATTGTTTTTTTTTCTCTCTCTTGTTTTCCGTTGTTCTGTTAAATGAATTGGTAATTTGTAGAATGTGGATGTTGTTGCAAGTTGCAATTGGCAATTGGCAATTGAATTGAGCTATCTGACAGATTATTTGCAATATGTTATTTGTAATTGAAATGCACTAATGCAGTGTATTTTTTGTTATAAAGGTTAGTGTTCACCCCCCTCCCCTTCCCCCCATGTGTTACTGAACATGTGGCATGTGCTCTTAAATTATTCTTTTAAGAATTATGCTGTGATAGTGCTTTTGTCACGAAAAGTTAAGGTAGCTGGTTTGCACCATGAAATGACCCTTGATAATTTTGATAGGCCACGCGAGGAAGTACTGCTGCAAGATATGGACTTTCTAAGGTCTCAAGGCCAGTTGCTCTGGCTTTCATGAAGAGATCTCTTGCTAGATGCCGCAAATTTGAAGAAACAGGGAAAAGTTGCTTTTTGAAGCCTGTCTTTAAAGATCTCCTATTTGCTGCTCCTGCTCGAGACAACTATACTGGTTCAGTTGTTGCTGCAAATAACTCGCTTACTCAAAATTCTCAGCAAGAATCCGCACCATCAGGTTTCCTGTTATAACCATGTTTTAATTGTTTTGGAAGCGTTTGCTATGGTAGACATATACTCACAAATAAATTGAGCTAAGGCATCATGTTTGTCAAGAAACAATTTCCTTAGGCTATTGCTTTTTGCTTAATTTATTTTATATCTCATGTCATTCTTTCTGAAATTTATTTAATTAGAATACTTCAGTTGTGTAACAAATTGAGTCTTGGTTCTTGCAGGTTATTTTCCTTGCAGGGAGCATGATGTGTCGGGACATCTAGACCATCCCTCCGATCAGGATTTTGCTAGAACCGGACCGATACTAAACAGAGGGAAGAAAAAGGAACTGCTGCTTGATGATGTTGGTGCTAGTCCTTCTCTGAGATTTGCATCAACTCCTGGTAATTCTTTTGGAGCAAAGGGGAAGAGGAGTGAACGAGAGAGGGACAAAGACTCTTCTGGAAGAAATTCTGTCACAAAAGGTGGTCGTTCTTCTGCAAGTCATTCGAGGGGTGAGCGTAAAACAAAAGCCAAGTCCAAACCAAAAACATCTCAACTACCTAGTTCTGGAAATGGATCTCTTAGCAAGTCAATGGACAATTCCAACTCTGAGCATCAATTGGCTTGTGGCTCTACTGAATTTATTTTAAATGATGGCGACAGAAAAGGTAAAGTTGGGTCTGCATCTCATAACTATAATGCTAATGAAATGGCCATTGGAACTGAGGGACCCATGGACGTCACAAACTTGCATGAATTAGACTCCATAGAACTAGGTGTAGCTAATGAACTTAATGATCCTCACGACCTGGACTCTTGGTTGATGAACATTGATGATGATGGTTTGCAAGATAATGATGCGATTGGCCTAGACATACCAATGGATGATCTGTCTGACCTGAATATGCTTTTATGAAGAATGCAAGATACAATATATTCGCAATCCCATGCAGTATTTGGTATTTGAGAACAGTGCTGTATCGGTGGAAATCTGCTTATACAATTCTTGCCTCTGATGTTGGAACCTGTAATTATGCCCATTCTTTTTGTATACTTATTCTCTATAATACCAAAAGATAGGAACCCAAAGAAAGGGTTAAAGAAAAAGTAAAATGTAGTCCTCAATTGTTCATATGATCTAGAGTTCTTTAGGTTGTAACTACTACATTCTTCAACAAAATTTTGACCAATCTTCTGTGCGTTTTCTCTTGTGGACTTCCAAATTATCTCATTAAAATTTTAAACACATGCTTTATATATACGATCTTGCTTTGTGCTATCCTGTATTTTTGGTATATAGCGACTATACAGTTTTCTGATGTGCACGCATGAATTTCAACACGTTGCACGAAATGTTGTGGTCAACTGGTGAAATTACCAAGGTGGCGATGCTTGTTTTCGTAATAAGTTTATGATTTTGTATAAAATTGGAAAATGTTATCTCATTTTTATATATTATGAAAGAAATGAAATAAAATTGATTGTTTTTGTCATTTTTTAAAAATATTCTTTTAAAACTGATAATTCGAAGATTATATATATATATATATATATAAAATAAAAAAATGTGATTTTTAAATAGTTAAAAAAATGGATTAGTATTTTTAAAAATAATTTATTTTCAAAAATTATGACACATTATTTTAATATCATTTTTAGTGTTTTTGTCAGGGGAGTGCCGGAATCACTTAACACACTCTTAATACATTCTTTTATTACAAAGTCATTAGAAATATTAGTTAAAAAAGTGAGAATTACCGAATTTTTTAATTTTTGATAAATTTTAACAAAACAAATAAAAAACACCAAGTGTATTTTACCCTATCATTTATTTGTTTATAAATCGAACGTAGGATGTTAAAATTTTTTTATTAGCATTTCTCTTTTACTGTCATATTATTTTAATGTCTTATTTTTTACAAGCAATTTTTGAGATAAAAAATAATGTACTCTCATTATTACTGATTTTCTCACTTTAGTAGAGCGAGAGGAAAGAAAATAAGAGAAAAAAAAAATGAGTTAAAGAAGAAGCCGAGATTTTCTTTTTTACTCTTCATTTTTAAGTATCAAATTTTTATTTCTCTCAGTTTTTTATCCCTTAATTAAATTTTTATGCCTTAATTACAATTGTACTATTTTAATTTTATAAATTTTAATTTATCAAGTATTATAATTATGTAATTTTACTTTCAAATATATCATGAATATAGACAAAATTTTAAAAATATTCAGTTATTTTTTTACTCAATGATTTTAATTACGTGAAATAAATCTGCAAGATGGTTTACAAAATGAAGAACAAAATCAGACTTGATTCGCTAGGTGGAGGCAGGATTTCATGTGTAGTGTTGTGGCACACTATTTTCCTTTGCTTTGTTCAACCATTCTCACTTACTTTGTGGACGGAGAAACCAATGCCAATGTGCAAGCAGATTTTAAAAATGTTCCCATTTCTTGTTGTCTGAGAATTGAGAAGAAAAGAAAAGAGACACCAAAATGATTCCTCAATCTCTCCACAACCCACCTTCCATCACCTTCTCAACCCCATCCCCTAAACGTCACCGTTTCCCTCCAAGTCGGAGAATCCGATGCGACGCCTCGTCGGTGTCGTTGGAGCACAAGGTTGGGCCTCAGCCCGGTGGGCTGGGCCCGCACACGGGGCGAGACCCAAATGTGAAGAAGCCGGAGTGGTTGAGGCAGAAGGCTCCTCAGGGCGAAAGGTTCCAAGAGATTAAGGGATCCTTGTCCCATTTGAAGCTCAACACTGTTTGCGAGGAGGCACAGTGCCCCAACATAGGAGAGGTTCAATTTTCTTTTTTCTTTCTCTTTTTCCCTCTCTGTCATGATTCGTTCAACTTTGGATTCTTATGTTATGTGTCTGAAACAGTGTTGGAATGGAGGTGGAGATGGTATTGCAACTGCCACAATCATGCTTCTTGGGGATACTTGCACCCGTGGATGTAGGTTTTGTGCTGTGAAGACCAGCAGAAACCCTCCACCTCCTGATCCCATGGAACCGGAAAATACTGCCAAGGCCATTGCAAGTTGGGGGTAAGTGTGTGTGTTTAGTAGTACTTCTAGTAGTAACTTCATACATTAGATAAACTTCCTTATAAATACTTAGATAAGCCTATCTTTGGTGTATTATCTTAGTTTATGGGTATCCTTAGATCATTTACGGGGTAAGATTGTGCCTGTGGTGTCTCTTTAGAGCATAGACAATGATTGATTTCTTTAAGGAAGTATTGATTCTTGACAGGTGTGAAGAGGGTTTGGATGGCTTCATTTCTTAGATAGGCTTCTTTGCTTGTTCTTTTTTGGTGCCTCTTGCAGTCTTTCTCTCTGTCTTCACTCTTCCCTTCCTCTGTCTAATTATGTCTTATTTGGTCAATATAGAAAAGAAAGAGTTCAATAAGTGCAGATCACTTAATGTCATGCGAAGGGGGTTTGAAACATGACTTGAATAGTTGTTCTTTAAATTTTGTTGTTTTTGAAGTTTTATGTTGTTTAATGTGAAACAGACCTGCTAGTAATCTTAGATAGTTCGTAGTTCTTGTACCTTATTAAATTGCAGTCACACGTTAGGCTCTAATGAGTCCTTACCTGAAAGTTTTCAAGGAGTTATTTTCTTGTGAAAATATACACAAAATCTGCTTATCATTTTGATGATAATAAGACAAGTAATTAAGCAATCATCTTGATGGTCGTTACCTTCTTTCAGCATAGATGTGAGATATGTACATTACTTTAATTAAATTTATGCAAACTTTTGTAGTTTATGAAAGACTGTCAAATTGACATACATATTTTGTTAGGAACATGGATTACAAAAGAAAGAAAAGAAAGGTTTTGTTTCTAGATTTTAAAAGAATAGAATAGAGATATCTCTCTCCTCCAAGGGTTTCCCCTTTCACACAAAGCTAATGCTCAGTTTACAACTGATACAAAACTGAATGATCTCTTGATATGAGCTAATTTCTGCAAGTTACGTTGCATATATTGATCTTGGACACATAATCTGCAACCAAAATTTTATAAGTTCTCACAACCTATTAATTACAAGTTTCCATTTGATGCAGTGTGGATTATATTGTCCTAACTAGTGTGGATCGTGATGATATACCTGATGGAGGAAGTGGCCATTTTGCTCAGACTGTCAAAGCCATGAAGGTGCTTTGTTATATTGGAATGCTGTTTTTATAATACATTTTATTTTGACAAGGTGTACAATGCATATTGCAAATACATGCTGTTTTTTTTTTTTTTTTTTAATAATTGCTTTTGCAGAATCTCAAACCTGAGATCATGGTTGAGTGTTTAACCTCTGATTTTCGAGGTGATTTGAAGGCTGTAGAAACTCTCGTTCACTCAGGTTTAGATGTCTTTGCTCACAACATTGAGACAGTCAAACGCCTCCAAAGAATTGTTAGAGATCCAAGGGCAGGGTAAGTTGCATTGTTAGTTCAACAGCTTTGTCATAATATCAACCATAAATCATTGCTTCTTCAAAAGTAAAATAAGAGCTAATATATATCATTTCTTTAACGAGGAATAGTTGTTTTACTGGAAATATAAAAGCTTAAATATAACAAGCATATAAATAATAAGTATAAATATATTTCTTTCCTATATGTTGTATGGTGGCAGGTATGAGCAAAGCTTGTCAGTTCTAAAACATGCAAAACAGAGCAAGGAGGGTATGATAACAAAAACTTCTATAATGTTGGGCCTTGGAGAATCTGATGATGAGGTGAAGCAAGCAATGGCTGATTTAAGGGCCATCAATGTTGATATTCTGACATTTGGTCAATATTTGCAGGTTAGTTAACGTAAAATACTTGGATCATTTTCAGACCTGCTTCTCATAGATTAGAAACCTAATCTTAAAATTCTATCCATGCTTACCCATGGTGCTAATCTTTCGCATGATCTCATAATTTTAAGTTGCAATAAAATGTTCTATTGAATCTAAACGAGGTTACTCTGGTTAGCTCAGCCGACATTGAAAACACACCTTGCAGGTCTTCTTTCTTATTGATCGTCAACTACTTATGGCTTATAGTAATTCCAAAGATTTTATTGTTGCAGCCAACACCCTTGCACTTAACTGTTAAAGAGTACGTCACTCCTGAGAAGTTTGCTTTCTGGAAGGAATATGGGGAATCTATTGGTTTCCGATATGTTGCTAGCGGTCCACTGGTAAGCTCTTGGCAAATGCATTAGAATTTGATTGTACCCTTTTTGTAGTATGGCTTGACATATGCTTGTATGAGATAATGCATATTGTGCTTTTAACTGGCCTTCAGCTGTTAAGTTGTAGAATTATCTGATCGTCATTATTGTGCTTCTGAAATGCTTAATTCAGGTCCTGTGTTTTGCAGGTGCGATCATCATACAGGGCTGGGGAGCTGTTTGTTCAGACAATGATACGAGAAAAGGCCAAAAATGCTGGTGACTGCTTATGATCTTTGGTTCTGCGCTTATGTATATTAGGCAACAAACAATTGACGAGGTTTTAGCATATGCATTGTTGCGGAGGAAAATGGTTAGGTGTGGAGAGAAAATTCAATACTTTTGAAGCTTTACGTATTCTTTGTAACTGCAATGTTTATTAATTTAAATTCTTTAGTAAATAACTGAGAATATACGTAAGTTGCATTGAGAGTAAGAAAGAACAAAAAATTCGAAATGCCATAACACGAGAATAATAGTTGATTTACTTCAAGGAGGGTGTTTCTCTTATTTGCATTTTGTTTGTTAGTGGCAATAGCTTTTTTGGATTGGTTACTCTTGTTTCTATTTTATTATTTGATAAAATTATGTGTAAGAAAAATACAAGATATTCACTATCTTCATTTTGGAGACTTACTAGTCGCTATTTATTCTGTTCACTCTGAATCTCTGTTCATCTCAAGAAGTGGGTAGAGTGCTTTGGTAGTGGAGAATATTTTCTTCTATGCTTGAAATTATATACCTGAGTTATGCTTGGGTGTACATGAATAATATTATTGTGCAATGATATTTTTTTGTTAATAAACTAACAAAATGCTTTTCTTAAACGGGAAAATATAATGTTAATAACCAACAATTAACTTGTTATTAATTAAGTGTTGTCCAAGTGTCAAGTTCAGGTGTAAGAATAATATCAATGTCTTATAATTAGGGCATTGTCTTTGACGCTTTACCAGGTTGTTCGATACTTAAATTTTTTTCTTTTTTATCTTAGCGAAAACAAGCTCATGATTTATCCAAGGCTCTTTTTATGGAACTATTTAGTCTAAAAAACCAGCTATTATATTTTTATGATTTTTGTGTTTTTTATAACCCGTGCTCTAGTGTAAATTATGTGGCTTCTGTAGTAAGGTTGTCTTTTTCAAAAAAAAAAATAATAATTTTGCGTTTAAATGGTAAGCTTGGGAAGTTATTGACAAAAAAAATAGGTTTGTTAAACGTGTTAGAAATTATTTTATAAATGCCTTTTTCTTTTTACTTTGAAAATTGTAAAAAGGAATTATTAACATTGTTTAAAATTATTTTGATTTATAAATGCCTTTACTTTTTACTTAGATAAATTTTAAAATAAGTTATTTTTTATGAAGGTCTTTTTATATTTTTTATTTTTATTTTTTTTATAAGTTGTATGTATTCTAGAATTTACTCAATTTTAATTGAATTTGACGTAATTTTTTATTATAAAAAATTAACTTAATTTAAAGAGATTCTGGTAAAATTTAAGCAAATATTTTACTTATAAATTTTAACATTCATAAAAAGTTATTAAAGAGGTTATTTTACAAAATACAGTTTTTTTTGTTTGTTTTTAACTAGTTTTTTTTAATAACTTCTTTCTATGTTTTTGTTTTGGAAAGAAACTTATATAATCGTTATAAATTTGTTTAATCACCATTTTTTATCATAATTTTTTTTTTGTTTTTAAGAACTTCTGTAAAATTATGTTTATGATTTCTTTTTAAGAAAAAGCATAGAAAAAGCATGCCTAAATTAATCTGAAAAATACGCATTTGTTTGTTGCTCTTCATTCTATGCACCATGCAGCCAGCGCTTAAGACCAGAAACAGAGGAACACCAACGTTGACCAAGGGTTGTAAGTGTAATATAAGTCACAAGGATATTAACAATTTTCCTTCCAAGTCTCCACCAAACTCGAGTAATTCTCCAAGTGAAATGATGAGGAATCTCTGTGCCAATACTTTATTATATATTTCGAAACAATAATTTTCAATGGGATGTTCCATTAAAAATATCCCCGAGAGTTTTTTTGGAATAAACAATGACCGTGTGTGGTTTAGCCCTCTATACATGCAAAACTTAGTGGATTCCACTTTGTGACAGTCCCTAATCGCTGTATTCATTGTAGATTCTATCAAATATTTCTAATTTTACATGTCTTTTACCCTCATTACAAATATTATAATATAATGTTGATCCAATTTTCTTTCAATTTGGAGCATTGAATCGATCGAATGAGTGGATTGGGTAGTGTTCCCTCTTTTAGATAGGTGTTCTTTAAGCAATAACCTGACCATTGGGGAAACACTCACTACGACCAATTATTTAGCTTATAAGACAGATAAAATGCAATGAATAAAGCAAAAGAATGAGTTGGCCAATGCTGTCATTTCATGGTCCAACTAATTAAATTATCCTCTCTTTTTCTCAAAGCAAAGTTGGCCAAGAAAATATGATCCCCTATAAATTGATCTAGTTCTCATTAATTGATGAGACAAATCAAGAAGAAAAGTCTTCTATTCTGACTCCCCAACCTACTTGATTCAATAATTTTAGTCATCACTCAGTGTGTACATAACTTCATCCAAAACAAACAATCAATTCCCTTTCTCCTTCCAAAATCCAAATATTGATACTGCACAAGGTAGTAACATTTCATTCCAAAACAATGATCAACAAAGTAGCAGTCCTACCAGTTCTTTTGCTTTTTATCATTGCTGCTTTGGCTTCTGATCCTGATCCAGTCATGGACTTTTGCATAGCCAAACCAGCAGATAACAGCTTCACTTGCAAGAACGCATCCACTGCAACAGTGGAAGATTTCACCTATTCTGGCATTAAGGTTCCTGGGAACTTCAAGCAAACTGGATTTTCTTCTATGGCAGTGAATTCTAATGTCTTTCCGGGTTTGAACACTCTTGGAGTATCATTTGTGAGAGCAGATTTTGGTGTTGGTGGTGTCAATGTGCCCCACTTTCATCCAAGAGCAACTGAGGTTGCTTTTGTGCTTGAGGGAAGGGTTTATTCAGGATTTGTTGACACCAAGAACAAGGTCTTTGCCAAAGTGTTGGAGAAAGGAGAAGTCATGGTGTTCCCAAGAGGCCTTGTGCACTTTCAGATGAATGTTGGGGATGGGCCTGCTACTATTTTGGGCAGTTTTGACAGCCAAAATCCTGGCCTAATGAGAATTCCAAATGCAGTTTTTGGTTCTGACATAAAGGAGGAGCTTTTGGAAAAGGCTTTTGGATTGAGTTCTAAAGAGCTTTCCAAGTTGAAGAAGAGGTTTTCTCCTAGTTAAAATGCCCTTTATGCTTATGAAGACAAGGGTTCAAATAAAAACATTGAACCTTATGTGTTTGAATCAGAATTTGAGATCCACAAAGCACAGTGAAAAGTTTAATGATTATTGGATTGATTTGTAGTCAATTATTTTAATAATTCAGCCCGTCTGACTTAAAGGGCTGATTTTAGAGCTACAGTTATTTAGTATAGAAGTGCTTCCATTTTAAAATTCACTTCCCTTCAGTTAAGGAAGGAGCTTAAGTGGCAGTTGAACTGATTACAACTTTATTTCCAACTTAAATCTTTTGTTTGCTGTCCATATTTTGATGTCAACACAATCATAAGCATTTGGTTCAGTTATACACGTTTGGTACAAAAGCTAAAAATAAAAAAGGAGTGGTTGGGGGCATGTTTGTATGTGTCTTTACTCTTTACTTTTTCATTTTGTTACACATTGCTTCTGCCAGGGTGCTTTTATCCAGCAATATCATTTTAAAGAGGTTGTAATTGCTCCAGAAGCTCATTTGTTAATGATTCCCCTCCCCCCGTTTGGTTGTTGCACCTTTTTGACTAGCATTTTAATTTGCTTTCTCATGTGATTAGCTGTCATGCTTTTTTTATTGGGGAAACAAACAAAGCCATGACTATAGGTGTCAAACACCTTCCAAAGGAGAATAGCAAGCAAACATTCAATATTTTATGGCAACGTTGAATTTATGAAATATATCCATTTATTTTGTAATATTCTATTCCATGTTTTTCTCCTTCTTTGTTTTGATTGTATAAATTGTTTTTAAACCAAGTTTGAAATATCAACCTTCTTTTCTAGTGGTGGGAGTTAGAATATTTTGCATAAGATTCTAGGTTCAAATCTCACGTGATCATTGTACATCAAAAAAAAATCTCAACTTTTTTCTCCACTAGATAAGAGCCGTGGATGTCTCCCTAAGAATCTGTACCTTCAAATCCAACCTTAGAAGCCTGATCATAAATGTTTCTTGTTCTTAAATCTTAAGGTTGTTTGGTTACTAAGATGGTGGATTGGTTTTACATTAATAATACTATAATATTACTAACACATAACATATGCACTTTTTATTTTCATTTCAGCAATCTTAACTTAAAATTACAAACAAAAGGTGATATGGCTGCTTGTGGTCAAAATGACAAATCCAATCGTAGTGTTACCGATCAGATAACATTAATAATCAAAAGACACTCAATCAAGCATGTTCTTTAAGGCTCTAGATGATAAAATAAACCCTGATCTAGATAAGTTGCTTAACACTGCTTACATTTTCCACAAACATTCCGTTGATGTCACAGTTAGAGCAATGCACTGAGCATCTCATTCCAAATGTCTGGCACCCCAGGGAGGCACCAATGGCTGCAATCAGAGGAAAGACCTGAGCCTGCTTTCTGCCTCTCTTCACTCATTGCCTTGCTATACACTGAAGGATGTCCATCTCTTCGGAAAGCAGTCATTGTTGTAATATCTTGCAGATATACTGGAAACCTCATTCTCTTTAGCACTCCTTGTAGCACTACTAGTGGTTCAGGAACATGTATGTGGCTGAAAAAATGTAAAGGCTGCCTCTGCTTATAGCATTTCCAACCATTTTGCCTACATATAAAAATATGGAACCAGAAAGTGAGCGATTCACTTTAGAGAGTAAAGTAAGTAATCTCAATCGTTGATGTGAAAGCAATGGTTGATATTACATATACATGTATAACAAATCATGCAAGTCCTCAAGTTTGTTTGGATAAACTTTAAATACTTTTAAGAGAAAAAAAATTGAAATAAACTTCTCAATAAGTTAAGATTAACTAAGCATAAACAATACAAGATTTTAGAGAAGTTAATAAGCAAGAGTTTCTTCAAATTAACTTATGCATAAACTAATTTTAACTTAGGAAGAAACTTGTTTCATTTTTCTTTTTTTATTTTTCTCTCCTAAAATTACTTCTGGAGAGGTTTATTAAAACGGTAGAATATTATCGGTTGATTTTCTCATCATACTGCGAATACACACTTTATCCTTTATTTTAGGAGTTAAACCCAACAGTTTGTTTTAACTGGTCAATAAAAAATAGGCTGTACCTGTTATGCCTAGGTGACATGCTTCGAAAAATGACTCTGGTTCTTCTAGGGTCCAAATTTAGATCCACCCACCTTGCCCATGTACTGAGTCCTTTCTGATAAGCAACCATAGGATTCATGTTTGTGATGATACTATTTCCCTCCTTGTAATAATCCCACCTTATATTAATCAAGACTGAATCCATTAGGACGTGAAGCTTGCAAAAAGGTTAGGTACCGTTTGGTGCATGCTTAAGGCCTTTAGACTATAGAAATGTCATTATTTATTGAGAATCAAATTATGGAGGGAAAAGAAAAAGATACTACATTCAACTAAAGAATGAGAAAACTTTCTTACGATCTTGTTTGACCAGAGTGAGTCCACCAGTGGGCTGAATCAAATACAAGAATATCAACTCCCTTCCAATACATTGCATTCTCTTCAATCAAATCCAAATGTAGAATTCTCTTATTGTCAGGTCCTTTCTTCAGTTCTACCAACATTGGTGCCCAGAAGAACTCAATTGATGTCTCAAAACCCTGCAAGTGAACAATATGGGGTCAATCATTTTCAAAAGGAAAAGAAGAATAAACTTGATTGATTGATTGATGTCCTACCATAGCATGGAAAGCCATTGAAGGACCGTTATAGGTCACCCTTTTCCTATTAGTTGGAATAACTCCTTGAACTAGGCAAACAAGAGACTCCCATTGGTTTCTCATTATGGAATCACCCACCAGCATTATTCTCTTTCTTCTCATTTTACCAAGAAACTCCAGTGCATCAAACCTGTAGGTGTCATCAAGAAATCAAATTTGTATGAAACTTTGCCCAATGGCCAATTGTGGAATTGATTTACAAACAACTACCTAAGCTCTCTAGTCGCAAAGTAAAAAACTAAAAGACTACTTTCCCACTGAATTTTGAGCTTTAATTGCCAAAGAACAAAAGAGAGATTTCATCCTAGACATCAGTATTATTCTGGTTGTTACAAACCAAACTATTTACAAGATATTATAGCTGCTATATACCAAATATACAAAATTACAAATAATAAACAAAATAAACATGTGACAAAATCATAATTACAGTGAACAATAAATATGTATGCGTAATAATGGTGCCTTAACATTAATAACTCTATTTTCATGCTTGCAACAGCAAAACAAAGAAGAAGAAAAAATAGTGATAATGCAATCACATATATAAAAGATAATAACAGGGTGGCAATGTGAAAAATTGTCTAGTTTTGATAATGTAAAAATACCTTGGGATGGAACAACCATTTGGCTTCCACTTCCACTTCTCATAGTCAGAATCTGGCCTTCCATTCTTTTGACAAGTAACTGCAGTGCTGAGATAGGGACAATTGGAATCATAGAGAGGGTAAGATTGATCAAAAACCCATTTTCCAACAGAGAAGTCACATTTATTCCAAGAATCTCTCCGGGTTTGCACCATGTTAATGTCTTCACTTTCCATGTCAATCCAGCTAGGATCATCCTCTGGGTTGATCAGCGATAGTGTGCAGTGGAAGAAGCTTAACAAGATGCTGTGGAAGAAGAGTAGAGACAGTAAGTGAAGCTTTGGTTTAGCCATGGAAGCGCAAGGTGAGAGCATAATGTGAATGGTCCTTTAGAAGGGCCTTGTGTTAACGAAAAGTGTTTCATCAAGGCATGACTTCCGGTGGTGTGGACCATGGAAATATTGTTACTTTCATTTGTTGACATTGCTGTAGACTCTGGTAATTGATATCTTTAGCACTATTCTTCTTTTACCGAGTACCTTTTTGCTTCTCTAATGAGTACATTGATCTTTAGAACATAGAGTAAGTAGCATAATTGATTGATATGGCAGCGCTTGCACTGGCACTTGCTTTTGTTTAATAGATTGATACATTTAAGTAGTAGTGAAAAACGATTTAAGGAGAAATCATAAACTTCTTGTTACTAATTGATATGTTTGAACTTTTTATAAAATCAAGCTAATGATCAATCCATGCAAACGGATCAAAATAAACCAAGGGCGATTTACTTAATTACTTAGGCTTCTTATACTTTTTTTTATATAGAATAGAATAGTGGATTGTTAAAATAGCCTTCATCATATGATTGGACGTTAAGGATTCAATCTATACTATATGATAGGACGTTAAGTATTATTAAATTACTCTCAATTATATTCATTCCTTGACATCCATCGATAAAAATTAATATGATTGTTAAAATACAGATTATCATAAATATAAGTTACCTTTTTATAGGATTCTTTAAATCCTTATTTAATATGAAATAAATAGGAGGAGAATATTTATCTTGTATCAATATTATAGTTTATATATATATATATATATATAAACTAACTACTCCAACCCTATTTACAAATAAGAATCATATTTTGACTTGGTGATTGGTTGAAAAAGCCTATAAATGGAGATTGAATGATTGATTATTCAAGATAGGTTATAAAATTCATATTTTTTAACTGTTTTTATACTTCTACTATTTAAATCTTTGTAAGTTTAAAATTGAATCAACCATTAAACTAATATAGGCATTAATTCAATAGTTTAATTATGGTTAAATCAAAATTAATAAAATAATAATTAATAGGATAAAAAATATTACATAAATATAATATTTTAATTTTATAACACTAAAAAATTAAATTTAAATATCATTTATAAATTCTTAACTTTCAAGTTATATATAAAAAGTTCAAACTAAATGTAATATAATATTTAAGTTAGAAATTTAATAAAATATAATAATTTCTATTTAAAATAACATGTCTACATGTAGAATAAAAAGTGTCAAATTAATAAAATATAAATTATAAAAACTCAAAATTACAAATTATTATAAATGATTAAATTATATTTTTATTAAAAAGTATTAAAAACAATTAACAAAATACTTTATTTCAACTTATATTTTTTTATTAAATATGTAAATTCTTTTTTATTAAATTATTGGACCGCTCACCAAACCCATTCTAGGTCAATCCGGTTGGTCCCATTAGATTTTCAAAATAATGCTAAAAATACTTCCAGAAAAAATAATAAATAAACTAAAATTAGTTTATACAGTAAAAACTCATTTTAGTTTCTCCAAAAATTTATTTTTAACTTGTTTAAGGTTTTCCCATTAACTTATGAATAAACTAATTTTAATTTATAAAAAGAATCTATCTAATAATACTTTCGAATAAATTTATCTACAAATGCTCACAGGCAATGTTCCCGTGCAAGTGTTGCAGTGCTGCTTGGCAGAGGAATGATAAATCACAGGACAGACTCTGCACGCTGTTATGCAGAACTATGCACTTTATGGAAGACTTGTCAACAAGTTAGGAGTGATAAAAGGACTACTCACGTTTAATGTCTCAACTAAGTAATGCTTCTGCGATTACTTCACCATGTGTAGCTTATCAAACCAGTGCGGTGCGTTCTCCATTGAAGTTACGGTCGAGGGTGAATCAGCATTTTTTTTAAGCCTAAGCACTATCCTAGTGTTTTTGGTTTAGCATTAAAAACTCGAGTCTCACCTCTAAATTCATGTCAACAGTGAAAAAAGATGCGGAGGCGAATGTAATTAGCTTCTGCGTCTAGTGCTCACTGGATCCTCATCCAAACATACGGGGAAAACATAACCAAAATATAACGAAGTAGGGAAGGAAATTGTTCTCATTAAAAGCTGACAAGTTTAGCTTGCAAGCTAAAGTGAATTGAAGGTGCTTTGCTCAACACAGAAAAGGAGCAAGACTTATTTTTCTCCAACAAACTAGCCAACTAGATTTAAAAACAATAACTAAAAATATTATGAAAACAAGAATTACAGATACATGAACCAACACAAACTGCGAACTAGGAGTGGACGAATCATCGTGCCATGGTGCCACGGGCTTCCTTGAAAGAGTCCTCCAGTTAAAATATTTCAGGCTTCCTGATGAAGAATAGATCAACCACAGGAACGTTTCCCATACACTTACTTGGGAAGCCCATTTTCCTCGTTGAGCAGAGCTTGACTGCTATCAGAAAGCAAAACAGGTCCCCTCCCAGGTCTGGTACATATGAAGTAACTGACATCACCCTTGTATTTTTGTGATGGAATGTTATCTTTAATTTCTGGAGGAGGTGGCAAAGCTTCTACATCCAGTACTCCATTGATCCCGGCATCTTTTGCTATTGACTTGTCACCAATAATGTAACTGAAGGAAGAGAATTTTGCAGGTAATTAAGAAATTCAGGAGATTGACAGAAACATAAGAGAATAGTATGCATGCAACTTGCAAAACTTAGAAAGCACCTGTCGAGGTCATCAGAACTTGGAGGGAAGTAGTAAAGCAGCCTCTGAATCAAAAGGGTAGCAGCTTTCCTGTTACGGGCAATTAGAACAGCATTCGGCCCCGCATCAAATGTATAAGCTACCTGCAATTCAAAACTAACAATGTTTTAAATAGAAACCTAAACATGTAATAATCTGTACACAAAACCAAACCAGTTGTATATTTATACATTACTCAAATGGGGATTATACATAAATTTGATGTGGTGAGGGGAATAATGACACAGGGAACTCAGTTATGGAGTAGTAGTGAAGTGGAAATGCTTCACAACACGAGAACAGATAGAATAAACCAATGGCCTGCTGATTAGAATAGACATTACTGGCATTCAAAAAGAAGCAAGCAATGTGCCACAGAACTGGAGATAGGATGTTCCCTTTCCATTTAAAGCATGAGCAGAACTTCAAAAGATGTACAATTACAAAAGAGTTTGATCAACGTACAATTCCTTCTTGACAAACCCATTTGGAAATACATAAAAAGATTTGAGTCTTTTGTTTGGTATACTAGTACTGGATAAAAATTTGCAAATGATATTTCGTAAACAATGGCCCATTTATAGCCAAAAAAAAAAAACAATGGCAAAAAAAAAAATCATTGTCACACCAGCCCCTTTCTTTTGGAATATCTTTTTTGAAGATCCCAGTGAATATGCGTCCTTTCCATTTCAATCAGCTACAAATAATACATTTCGAAGACTTCTAAAAACAAGGAAGCCAAATTTCCACAGCTTTGTTGCACTTTTGTATCTCTCTAGTTCTCTGTTTCCTTCTACTTTCTCTGTTCTGGAGGATATCTTACACAGTTACACTCACCCTAGATGTACTTTTTTCTCTTATCACAAATAATTGTTTTACATAAAGAAAGAAACATGCTTAAGAAAACAAGCTTGGTTATTACTTGTAACTTGCTAGGCTCTCTCTTCAAAATAATACTAATGCTAATAATAACTGTTTAAAAGAAAGAAGCGTGCTTAAGAAAACAAGCTTGGTTATTACTTGTATGTTGCTGGGCTCTCTCTTCAAAATGATACTAATATGCTAATAATAATAACTGTTTTTAGATCATTCTACTGTATGAAACTTGTGGATATATTATTTCCAAAGTACATAAGATATGACAAAAATGAAAGAAAACAAAAAGATTTATCCACTATGTTTGAACTTGAAATTAATTAAAAAATGGCTATTATTAAAAAACTACAAATAAATTTCTTTTAATTAGAGATAAATTTCACAAATTTTGACCGTTGGAATAAACAGTTCTACATGTGACACTATAATATGACCAATAAAGTAATTCAAACCTGGGGAGCTTCTTCTGAACGATTCCACTTTTCAGTGATGCTGATTATCCTGAAGAGAAAATGCACAGTCAATAATAACTTAGAAAAAACCTGTCACACTTGTGATCTAATCATAGACATAATAGAAATAACCAACTCTTGCAATTATTAGCACCTACCTGTGGGATGTATCATTCATGTAAAATATAGGGGGAGATGTATCCAGGCAGACTGCATGAAACTGGTTGCTATCAGCACAGGTCAATTGTGAAAAGGATGCAAAATCACGATTTCTAATAGCTTCTTCCATTTTCAGTATCCGCTTTGGTACAATTTCCTGTTGCGGTCAAAATGAGTAAATGAAAAAAATAAAAAATTGTCCAAGCTAAATCACTGAGATAGTTATTTATATAACTGGGAATTGAACAACCCAAAAAACTTTCATGCATTCATAAATAAATAGTGATTGCATTTAAATGTTGAAATTGATAGAGAAACAGTGGAAAATAAATTCTATTGTTAACAATAGTAAGTACTAAATTGCTTGAAGGGTCTTAGTGAGGACAAAATGTATTGGAACATTTTTTTCCCTAATGTTAATAATTAAAAGCACATATTGTCCAGATTCTAGGAAAAAACCAAGGGGACCGATCCCCTTTCTATAGTGGTACAAGGTGTATTAGGGTAAACACCTAAATTAAGCACCTATTCAACAAGAGCTTAATCACAAGCATAACTATGAAAGCTTATTGAAATACGTTAAAATGAACTTGATTTGTTAAACTTTTCCATAAAACTTATTCAATTAAGCTAAAAATAACTTATAGGAAGGCCATAAGTAATTGTTATAAGTCCAAATCAGCTTCATTGAACTCTACCCAAACACCCTCTAGTGTGCAAATAAACATCTAGGAATGTGTGTATTCTAATAAAAAAATAACAAATAAAATCTACATATTGTTGGTTGTGCAAAACTTGTACAGAGGGATGAGGTACCTTTGCCCTGTGTTGCAAAAGCAAACTTGTTTCGACACTCTCACGCATTCCTGAAGTGCTACTAGTTTCCTTCTGTCGTGAACTAACCTAGAAATAGATAACAAGGTGGAAATATTGAGTAAAGTATGACATACGAGATATTACCATAAAGCAGATACATAGTGATAAGATGAAACATGTAATTGACAAAATAAATAACATGGATTAGACAAATTAACAAACAAAATCCAGATGTGGAAAATCTTGCTCAGCTCTTGTTTAACCATCAACACATTTAACAACTTAACACTTAAACCCTCGATATCTGAGGCATAAGTAGCAATGAGAATAGTGGTCTTGTCATGCCATGAATGACAGATAGAAGAGGAGGAGAAGCAGTAACAGAAGAATTGACGAGGTGGCAATGGTGATAGACTTAAGCCATATCTTCAAAATTCAGCACTTATAGGAAGCCAACTGCTGAACTTCTACCATAATATCACTAAATTTAGTATATTTTATGATTCAATAATAGATGTACGGTTACTTGAATAATACAAAGAAAAATTTGCAAACAACTAATATGATAATGATATCAAATAATAGTGTAGCATTTAAATTGTTATGCAGTATTCCATAATGAAAAACTAGACAGACCAAGACAAAATTAGGAAATACAAAAAACAACCATAAAATAAAATGCAAAAACTTAACCATACATGATATGGACAAACAAAAATCTAGAGTTCTTTGAAGGGTTAAAAACAATTAACAAATTTCAAGCTAATGGAGTTCTTCAATCTGAAAGCACATATTCCGATTGATATTATAATTATTATCAGGTTGGTGATCTGGGAAATCATAACACACTGTTTCTATAAGATAGACAATAACATTAAATGAATAACTGGCACTTCCAGTTTTAGTTAAAAAGTCAAAATAAAAGTTCAATCATATTTAGTGAATAATAAGACAAGATGAACCGACTGCAACAAAGCTTGAAACTGGAAACCACAAGCTATGGGCTTTACATTGAGAAACATAAGTTAAAACTCAACAGCAAACTCATCCATTAAATTAATTAATGACTGAAAGTGTGCCATACCACAGCAATAATAATAACAAGATCATCCCAGTGCTTTTCATCAGCAAGTTGAACTGCAAGACTATCACTTCCATTATCCTCCTACAAATGTTGAAAAATAGAAATTACAAATGGATTCTCAGATAATATAATGACGTGTCAAAATATAAAATAGGAAATAAATAAACTTACTTTTCCCATTATCCACTTCACAAATCCCCCGAATAAGCTGCGACAAGCACTACCTGATCCTTGCCTGCACATAACGACAGTTTTCATAATTGCTACAACATGTTATTAATGACCTTGCAATAACACCTCACAAATTTAAAGCCAGTAACAAATAAAGACCGTGCAATAGCAGATAGCTGGCTTTCATCTTCTTTGACATTCATTAGCTTCCCAAGGGCATAAGCTGCAAATAGAAGACAAAATGATTATGACAGGTGGTAACTAATATTAAGCCAAATATAGAAATAAGAAGCACCAAGAACCTTGATATTCCAAATAAGAAAGCATGGAAATTAGATCGGAATTGCAGTAGACATAACAAAACTGAAATTTGAATATCTACTCATAAATCCAAGAAAACACTCATAGTCACATCCACAAACCAATATTTTGTCTCATGCAATTTTAAAAAGTTTCATTTCCCTTCCCCAAAAAAGCCCCTACCCCTACCTGATTTATAATAAACAGACTAAACAGAGAGTATTGATGCATTCAAATCCAGATATCGAAAACCAGATTGGACCAATCAGTTAACGCATCACCCAATTCAATGCCCTGTTTGGTTTAGATCTTAAACCTGCTAAAGCAGCCAACCAATCACAACCAGATTTAATGGATAGACCCATGCACCCGTATTAAGCTCGAAGTATGGAAAACTGATAATTTTATAATATAGAATGTGAAAGAGGTTTTCATTAGAACAAGGGAAATAATGGAAGACTGCTCAAATCCTAGCCAGTAGCCACTAATGCAATCAACTGTGCTGTCATAACTATTGAATGAAAGAAAACTCAAACAAAAACTTAAGATTAACATGTGTATTACCAAGGCAGGCAAAACCCGCAGCTGAAGAAGCCAATCCTGCTGCAGTAGGAAAGTTGTTGAATGAAGCAATGTGTACATGCAATTTTCCCCAATCCTCCTTTGCGATCTTGATACCCTTTTTCGTATCCTCAACATCACACGCACGAGCACGGATCTCCCTTAAACAGTTTTGGAACCTTCCTCCAGAAAGAGAAATCTCCTACACTAACCAACATAACCAAATTCCATGAATCAAAAACCGGAAGAAATAGAAAAACAAATCTCTACGCCAGCCAGCATCTAGGCACAACTAGAAAACACATAGAAATTAGAAACAAATCTAGAAACAAGCAGTTGCCATTTGTACAACAAATAAGGAGCAAGTAGTGACACAAGATAAAAGCGATGTAAGAAAATTTGCCTAACAGTTTGATGACTAAGAATTTGTAATAAACTATTCATCAAAAGTTGAGAAACGACTTAAGAAAATAAAATAAAATAAACCAACATCTCCCACGAGTTAAAATCACAAAAAAAAAAAAAAAAAAAAACTCCTGAAAAAGTTGAGACACACGGAAGAAGTTCAATTAATTCATTTCATCTCGTTGATTTATTTCCTTTTCCTCACTTATAAGTATTTATCGATAAATTTAGCCAAAATCCACTCTAAATGCATCTGAAGCTATTCTTGACCCGCACGGCGACATGATCCACCTTCTATTTCTAACATAAACCAATTTCCAATAAATACGCAGTAACAATTGAAAATATTAATCAAGAGAGAAAAAAGAAATTACCTTGCCATTGAGCCACATGCGATCTTGGTGGAAACGGGGACTGACAGCAACAGTGGTGGTGGTGCAAAGGTGAGTGGGATCAAGAGTGACACTGATACTATCATTAACCGGTAAAATGAGGGTTTCGTCCCTCTTTCCCCAATATTTGATGACAGCGATGTTGGTTGGAGTCTGCGCTGTCACCATCAACACCCAATTTTGCGACTCAGCCGCCATCATACTCAATTCAACGTACTCGCCGCGAGTTTCAAATGCGGCGGGAAAGTGAAGGAAGAGGTAGGTTGTGAAGTGAGATCTGAATGCGAAGGGAAAGAGAGGGTTTTTCTATAGCAATCACATTACCATGAAAGGGAAACAAAATCTCATACGGAACTGAAAGCCTCCTCTGCCAAACCCATTCGGTTGATTAATTATGCGTCTCGCTTTTATAGCGTTTTCGATAAAGCTTCCCTTCACCTCAATAAACATAATTACTACCTCCATTTCACATTCTTTTACTTTACCCCCGAAGAAATTAGTTTTATGTGATTTTCAGGATAATTATTACTTTTTTCACAACTTAATTATAAGAAATTATATCAAAATTAATCGTTGGTTCGAGTAATAATCGACTTAATTTTTTTTTTAAAAAACTAAGGTCTCGTATTTAAGATATAATTTTTTTAAAAAATTAATCATGAAGAAAATATATAAAAATAAATCTAAAAAGTAATGATAAAAAATTTTAAAATTTAATTTTATGCAATTTTCTAATTGTTCATACAATATAATTTCACACAAATTTTCATTATGTTTATAATTTATAAAATTTAAATATAAATTAAATTTCATATATTTTATATAAATAAATATAAAGTTACAAGTTTTACACAAATAATTAGTCTAAAATTAGTTTAAAATCATGTTTAAAATAAAAAAAATATTATTTCTAAAAGACTAAATCGATATAAATATTAAAATTAAAAGATTAAAATTAAGATTTTGACATATAAGAAATTAAAATAATTCTAAAAAATAAGATAAAGAATTAAAAGTATAATTTAGTCTATTTTAAATTTATTATAAATAATTTATATTATAGTACAAGATTATTTTTATTTAATGATTGTTTGTTTTAAAAATATTAAAGTTGAATTTATAAATAATTATGAAAAATAAAATTTAAATTAAATATGAAGTTAAGAAAATCTTTAAAAAATTTACTGTTGAAAAAAAAAATCTAAAAACATTAAGATAGTATGCTTTATATATAGGAGTCGATTAAAAATAAATAAATGATATTAACTAATTTTTTAATTAGTATACAAATTAATTAATTTTGTTTTTATATTTAGCTCTATCTGAGTTAATAAATTCATTGTACATTGTTATTTATACTAGATTTAATGGTATTTAATGTAGTGCAGATTTTCTTTTTAATTTATTTTTTTATATGATTAAGAAAAGTATTTACTCCAATATACAATGCGGAAGACAATATTAGACAACAAATTTAGCATGAAAATTTTAATATTTCATTAAAAACTGAAAATGTGAAACAATATTGTAATTTCTATGGTTGGCTAATGGTATGTGATCGAAATAATATACGTTCTTATGTTCGAACTTTATGATTGTTATTGTAATATGGATGGATAAAAAAATATGATATAATTTAAATGTGAAAAATTTAATCGATTAAAAATGAAATGAATACAATTTTAGTCTCTTATTTTCATCTTACGTATAATTTAAGTTTTCGTATATTTAATTATGCAAGATAATAACTTAAGTTTTATAAAAGGAAACAGTTCTTTGACAATGAAGCATACCAAGTTTGAATTTTTTGTTAAGGGTAATACTCACATTTAATATGTGAATGAAAACAAAGAGAGAGATATGCTTATTACAAGTTTTCAACTAATTCATTCAATTTTTTAATTATAATACGTCATTGTTATTTTTAAATTATTTTATGTCATGGCAGAAAAATTTATCAATTTACCATTATTAATTACTAGATGAAGATTGAGACGAAGAATTCAATTTTAACATCTTAAAATATATTTAAAAAAAACACATGATTAAAACTATAAATAGCAAAGTGGCACATAAAACGCAAATTAAATGACTTAAATTATAATTGAGTTTTAATTTTTAAGGGGATATTTAACACCCAAAAGTTTTATTTTTATTTTTTTAAAATGAAATTAAAAATATTAATTTCTAAATTTATGGGAAATGTTAGTAATATACTATTTAACATACTCACAATTATTAATTAAAATTTATTAAAAACTATAATGTCACGAGGGAAAGAATCAATATATAAGATACGAAATTCATCAAAGTTTATATTTTTTTAATAAAATTCAACTAAATAAAAAAATACATTTAAAAGAACGTGGTGGCTACATTTGATTTTTGTACTCACTTTACTTAATTTTTTCCAAAATGGAGCACGGGATTTTTACATGTGAGAAGTTGGTCTACATAGGACACTAGCTCGTGGTACACGAGGACATATGACAAGTAAATAGAATAAATGGTCATAGAGGAAGGTGGTGCTCGTGGTACACACTTCGCTTATAATAGAAGATATGACAGACACAGTACTCGGATTTGTCACCAGAGACAATTTTGTACTTAAGAAAAACTGTTTTTTTAAAACAATATATTTATTAATAATTATATATAGTTTACTGTCTACAAAAGTTGTATATATAACTAAGTTGTGGTTGAGCTTGATGTGTGAATTATTGTAAACTCTTTTGATATCAAGTTTTGATTTCTACATATTAAAAAAACTGTGGTTAAAGATAAATATAATTAATATGAGCAATTTAATAAGATTGTTTCAACAGCTATTCTAAAGTTCGAGCCTACTCAAATAGTAAGGAATCCGGATTCAAAAGAAAAATAATGTATTTCTGCTTCCTTAAATCACTATGTACATCTTATTACAAAAACAGTGCATCATTTAATATTTTAATTTTTTTATATTAAAAATTCAGACGTATTATACTTTTTTATGTTAGCAGCATCTCAAGTTAAACTGGCAAAACAGCCTTGATATCCTTGTGCATTGTTCTAATGACAGTAGTAACCTGCTGAGTCTGGTCTTCATTGGAGCATGCTGCAAGAAGCACCTTAGCTGTTCCTCCATCTGGGTAACAACCAGCATCAATCATTTCTTCAAATATTTGTAAGCACTTCACATAAAGCTTTTTTTTGGAGTATGCTCCAATACGAGAAGTCCAAGTCACCACATCAGGTTTCAAACCTTTGCTAGGCAGCAACTGAAACAAGTCTTCCATTCTCTCAATAAACCCTGCTTGACCATACCTATTTATCAAGATATTATATGTACTAATATCAGCTACATATGATCCTTTTTCCATCACTGTCATAACTTCTTCCATCTTTCCAAATTGGCCTAACCTTCCATACAAGTTCAGCATGCTGTTGAGAACATAAGTGTCTAGTTTCAGACCAGATTTGCACATTTGGTTGAGAATCTCCTCACATTTATTCACACTGCCCATTTTGGAATAGGCAGACAGAAGAACCATGTGGGACTTCATTGTTGGTGTTATTCCCACTCTTATCATATCTTCAAAAACAGCTTCAGCATCTGAATTTCATTCAAAAGGATGTGAAAGAAAAACATGTATCAGACCAGTAAAATGGACAAACAGATTAAAAAAACTACAAAATCAAAAATTGGCTGAACACTGAACCAAGCATTATATACCTTCTTGAAAACCTGCTTTTCCATATGCATCTACCAAGATATTATATGAGGCTCTATCTGGTTCACATCCCATGTGCTGCATTAGTGAAAAAATTTCTGCAGCCCCATAAGGATAACCTGCACGACTGTTGGGAAAAAAAATTCTTGATTTTTTCCTAAATATGAAACCATTAGATTAATAACAAAAAACACTAAACTAATGGAATGACTTGAACACACATCAGCACAGCAAAGGTAACCTATCCCATGGCATATTAGAGTACTAGACAGACATCTTTTATAAAAGACCGTTGGGCTAGCAATAACGTCATTAGTTTTATACAATTTAGTCTCCTTCTATTGTAAACCTTCTAATACATACCTTTAGAGGTGATTTTTTATTTTTATCATTAATCCAAAATAATCTGACAAGGCCTATTTGATGCACTGACCATTTAACTAATCATATAAGCCCACACCATTTCTCAAGTTTCTTTTGCAGAACATCTAAAATGTCATGGCTATCACAAAACAGATTAAAGAGATAAAAAAAAACTTACTAAACAAGAAGGCATTTATGCCATCTTATGTAACAACCTGTAAGCTTCCATGAGGGCATTATAAGCATATACATCGGGTTCAAGCCCAGCTTCTTGCATCTGCTCAAACACTTCCTCTGCTTTCTCGCATAGGCCTTCCCTTGCAAATGCATTCACCAGAGCAGTATATGAACAAATATTAGGCTTGCACTTATGGCTCGTCATTTCATGGAACATTTTTAAGGCCATAAAGGATTTACCAGCCTGTATAAATTTCAAATTTCAAAAGTATTATTATGACTGCACTATCAAGAAACACACAATATAAGAAGCAATTAGGGTGTGTTTGGAAACCAATTGAATGGAAACCAGTTGAGTTGAGTTGCGTTGAACTCAACTGGAGTTAAAAAAAAAGTCACATTCACAAGCTTATCCTTCGAAAACATGTGTTTTTCCATTGAACGTAATTTTAAACTGGTATCTAAATGTACACTTAGTAGTACTAAATTTAAAGCCCGTTACTTTTTACTTAGACTTTCTGAAACTACTAAATATGATATTAAAACAGAACAAATATTACATAAATAACATAAACCCCAGCTGAATATGATCATGATCAATGTACACAAAATTACCAACATAACCCCAGTCCTAAAAGGTTATCAGCTTACTTATCCTTGTAACTCTGGATGATGGCGATCTATCTAGAAAAATATATGAATACAAATTTACAATTAGCCCAATAAATCATAAGTAAATCTTATTTTGATTTCAGGATTTCTTGATGCTGGTTCATCAAGCATCATGTTGGTGAACAAAGTGTCAACCTTTATAACATAAAAATTTCCGTCTTTCTATTTGTGAATGTCAGCAACAATTACATACATTTGGTTTAGTTGAAGAGAGTTACAAAATTTGATGCCTTGAATGTAAGTTATTTTGTAACCCATCGGATCATACAGAGAATGCAAAAAATAAAATTTAGACAAAAAACAAAGAATCTTAGTAAGCTCACTTTTCCATATAAATTTATCAACATGGTATAAGTTTCAGTAGTTGGCTTGCAGGCATCCCTCTTCATCCTGTGGAAAATCTCTTCGGCTTTGTCAGAATTTCCTCCTTTCATTAATCCATTTATATAAGCATTGTATACAACTGCACCTGGATTGTTCATTCTCACAAATGGTAAGCTATTTTAAAGGACCAAATTTCCAGTTACCATAAATGGATGCACATATAAGTTTTCCATGGAACAAATTTTATAGGGTAAAGTTTGGAATAAACTCAGTAAAAGCAGCACAAAACCGAAATTGGTGAAAGCATGATACATTAGATGTGCTTATCACTTCAACATCTTAACTCTTCCCTGATATTTGAAATCTAGAATTGGATGTTAAAGTCGTTGCACAGAAAAATGATGGTAGACATTGGTGTGGTTGATATATTTTTTGGGTGTTGAACTACTAATAATTTAGAGAACTAATATCATGTCAAGCCCCCAATCTTTGATTGTATTTTCTTTTCATCATGTGTGTATGAACAAGTCAATTCAGGAACGTACTCGAAGGAAGGCCATAATTTCGCATTTCGGCAAAGACTGCTTCAGCCTTTTGTAGCAGACCAGAGATGCAATAGGCCTTTATAAGAAGGGCATAAGTATCTTCAGTAGGAATACATCTAGCCTCCAGAAGCTGCAGATATGTGGATTCTGCCTCCTTGTATTGAAGCTTTTGCCCAAAAGCATCTATGAGTAAATTATAGCATATTACATCTGGCTTGAAGGAGCTTCTTAGCAGTATCCATCTACATATCTGCACAATTTTTTCTGTTATACCGGGCAACATAAATCCACGGCCAATCCCAAAACAAATTAGCAATTGTGATAAACAAAAACAATAAATTAATGCCATTGCCCAAGTATTCGTGTGTACATCTGACATTGTCACATAAATCATATGAAATAGATGCTGACACATGAACCGTGAATTCAAGAGGGATTCAGTGGTGAAACCTTAAGAGAAGACAACCTTCACACTTGAAATAATTTGATTGATAAAAACTTTACTAGTAAGTTAAGTCTGCTAGAAGCACAAAGGTGGATGAAACAAATAATGTCATTATTAAATACCAGAAAAAAAAAAAAGAAAAAAAAAACACTTCATGCCTTGTTAATGTTACGCGGAATGTTTAGAAGTTACAAGTGCAGCTATTATAATAAATAAAGGATTAAAATGTCTTAGAAACACAACATTTCTGTATCATTTTTTATATATTCTTATAAATTATAGATTATAGATAGATACTAGCGGGAAAACAAACACTACACTTTTTGTAAGACTATGAGAATGAGAGTAATTAATTTATTAAGTAACTCTACTCACAATTTGAGAGTGTGCAGTTACAATGCATCATTAATCAGTTGAAGGGTCAATTTTTTGTGTACACTGAAAATTAGTATTGTCTGTAATTCTGTATATATTGTCATAGATGCTCATAAACACATCATTAGGTTCCAAAGAATAATCCTGAAAAGGCGATATGTATGAAAAAATGGAAAATAAATTAAAGTTTGAAGGTAGGGAGGGATGAGTTTCTGACCGAAATGATTGAATCCCAATGTTTCCTCATCCGAAGTTGAACAGCCACAGTGAAAATATCATCCCATGCGTCAAGAGTGGCAGGAAGCGTGTCCAATGAAGTCCAAATGCTCTCACTCTCCACTCCCTTTTCAACATAGTCCAGAATCTTCTCTGCAGTTGGACTCAATACAGGGAAAACCCCATCAACAAATCCAGAACCATATTTCCATCCTCGTCCTCTCATAGAACCATCTGCTCATACAAAACAACACACTGGTCAAACACGACACGCACCTACACTTCAATGAACTAGTGAAAAAGTTCGTTTTTCAAGTGTTAGTTACTTTTTTTCCTAGACACTTTCTTGTGATGGAAGTTCCTTAGTTTGCCATTTTTGTCGATATAAACGCTATCTCTTTTAAATTTCTCCAAAGCCACGCTGTTGGAATCATTTGCCTTCCATTCAGAATCATTCATGCAAACTCTTGATTCTATAAGTGTGTGGCTTAGTGTGCATATAGAATTTAACCTGCAGATAAGTAAGGCAACAATTCAGTTTCAGGGACACATGTCATATGTCAATGCAACGGGCTATGTCCAAACATGAAACACAAAATTGAAACGAAGAAAAATGAAGTGGAACTGCTTACATGAAGGCACGTAGGAGAAGGTACGAAACTGGATAACGAATGATTATATTTTTTTTAAGGCTAAATGTGCCTTTCAGTTTTTGATAGAGAACAAATTATAAGAAATTAAGAATAGAGAAATGGACTGTGAGCAAATATCCGTGAAAATATCTTTGGATGGGTCAGAATGACAAGGCCGAACGAAGTTGAAAGTACTCAACATTGTTAACATTTTTTTAATAAATAAAATAAAAAGTTTAGGTGAGTTAACTTTTTATTTTTTAAGCAAATCAGAAAGTGTTAGAGATGTACGGGTAAATTATCCAACACCATAAACAAGGGATGGAACAATCTCACGTTTTTATGGATACGAATCCCTACCTGCTGAAACAATTTTTATTTGTATTGTTAACGTTGTTTTTTCACACATCAATCATAACTAGTAATTAAAAAATGATTTATAAGTGATTGATTATTTTTACGTTGATTTGAGTTGAATTAGAAGAAAAAAAAGTTAATTAATCATTTTTCCTTTGAGTTTAGTATAATAATTGGCTTTCCAAAATATTTATATTATTTTAAATTTATATATATATATATATCTGAGGGACATTTGTTATATCTATAAAAATCAAACTCAAATATCAAGAAAATATACGATACTTGTGTTCCTTATTCAACTAACGTTAAACTCTTTAATATATATAAGAGATTTAAAGGTGATGAAAAGAGGGGAGAAAGCAAAAGTTTTAAAATATTTTGAGAATAATATTTAAAATGTTTTTACTTATGTTTTAAAATTTAAATTATAAAAAAAATAATTTTTAAATTTCATTCATTTCCTCGATAATTAAACAAGTAAATAACTACACCCTCTCTCTCTCCCTCCTTTCCTTTTAACACTTTGTTTGAAAACACTAATTGTGCAAAGAAAATGACTTGAGAGGAAAGAAATAGGTTTTTATTTTTTTTTTAAAAAGGTTGGTCATATGGAATGTAGATAAAGAGAGGGGGAACTAAATATAAATAAATAAATAAATAAAATCAACTAAATAAAAAGGAGAGAATATAAAGTTGGTAGGCTTATATGTTTTTTTTTTTTAGTAAGTGAGGTGGAAAATACATTGACCAACAATCCATGAACTATAAAATGCGTGGCTCTCTTTTCCCCTTTCTTTGTTCCCAATGGTTTTTATTGTTGAAGTTGTTAAGTTTGTCATCTTCATTTCACACAACTTGTTTCATTGTTGATAAGAATGTGATCTTGTACTTATTTGTTGGTTAATGATTATACTTATAAAACACACAATGTAAACGGGTTGTATACATGTTTTTATGTTAGTTCCATGTTGACTTTGTTGTATTTGTTGTGGACCTATATTTGTAATAAGTAATACTCAATTTGTGCCAAAAGCTTTAAATCTATCGAGGAAAAACAATGTTATTTTTGGTAGATTTTGTTAAGAGTGAACAAATGATAGGTTGAATTGGGAGTGTTTGACCCTAACTTGTCCCTAAATTTTGGTCAAGTCAAATTTTAGATCATAACCCTTTTTTAAATTCAAATGGGCCCAATGATTTGTAAGTAAATTGGGATTGAATTAATTTAAGATAAGTTTGGGTTAACTCGAAATATAATTAACACAAATTCTTGATACTTATTAATGTAATTGAGATTTCAAGAATAATTTGTATCTTATTATTATATTTAATATTATGTAAATTAAATTGATGGTTACTTATAATCTGAAAAAAAATTAACATTAGTATGATAAATATAAATAAAAGAAACAATAATATGTAATCAATCCAATACTCATTTTAACTTATTTAAAATTTTGTTTTTTGAAATTTTGGTTTTTGTTTTAATAAAATAACTAGGTATCTGATTAGTTATTTTAAAAAGCCAATTAATGAAGAAAGTTACACACAACACATGTTATTAATCAATTTCACACATTATGAAATGGATTAAGTCAATGTTTGGACATGAGTTATTTTGTAAGAGTAAAAATGAAACATCTTATATATTATATATTTTTTCATCTAAAGTAAACAACTTCACAAATTTTTTCTTTGTATCCTTCTATTTCTCTTAAATTAAACAACTATATATATATATTATTTCACTTGCTTCTTTCCACTCTTTCATTTTATACTTACCAAAAGACACATAAGTCTTAACCAAAGAAATTGTTTAATAAAAGTTTGAGTGGTAATTTTTGGACTATCAAATAAATAATATACTTCACTAACAACTTTAATTTTTCTTTATCTTTTTTTATACCATAAATATTATGGATTATATTAATCACGAGTGTCTTATTTTTTTAATTATTTACACGGAGACACACATATTCATATCCATTTTTTAAGAATTTTTCCCTTGACCCCTTCTCATTCCCTTTTTTTTAAACCAAAATTATTTTTTATTATTCAAGTTAGTAAGAATATTATAAACAACAATTTTTTTTTAGTATACATATTTAAGATTCAAACTTAAAAGCACGGTTAATCCCTCTTAAGTTAACCCATGATAATTATTACTAAGGAGGGAAAATAAAAAAGAAAAAAAGCGACCTTACATTCCAATATGGGCCACACGATCTCAAAGCCCGTATTAAGGCGTGAAATCTAACGGCTGATGAGAAAAGGTCCTTGGTCTGAATTTACAATAATATTTAGACTAAAAAGAAAAATTATAGCTTTTTGAGAAATCCCCTTGCACAAGCAAATTGAGCACAAAAGCCGAACCCTCTCTACTCCCAGACACAGCAACACAAACCCCACTCTCAGAGTCTCTCTCCGGTAATTCCGCAACTCAAATCTTTCTCATTCTCTACTCTTATTCTTCTCATTCTAATCTCTCTTGCCTTTTCAGTCATTTCCTCGATTCCTATCCAAGATGTTTCTCACCAGGTGAACCCCCCTCTTCTGCTGCAAATTTGCATTTCAGGGTTTTTCCATTTCGCTCGATTTAATTCGCCAATGTTTTCTCCCCTAATCTATTAGGTCTTTAATTTTGTGTATGTGCGTGTTTGTATGTTTAATTGTTTATTCCGTGGGTGAAATAGGACTGAGTATGACCGAGGAGTCAACACCTTTTCTCCCGAAGGCCGTTTGTTTCAGGTTGAATATGCAATTGAAGCCATCAAGGTATGTCTCTTCACCCCGATCTTACTCTTCCTTGATTTTTTTATCCGTCCGTGAGAAAATCAAAGGGTTTAAACTCTAAGAAGCTGTCTCATTCTTAATTTAGTTTTCGTTTTTTTTTTTTTTTGGTGTTTCTGTTTGTAAATGGGTTTTTTATTGGATTGCAGCTGGGATCAACTGCGATTGGGTTGAAGACCAAAGAGGGTGTTGTCCTTGCTGTTGAGAAGCGCATCACTTCGCCCCTGCTGGTACGTTTATTTACTATTTTTAATTGGACTTTTATCATCTTACTGTGACCCCTCTACACAGAGATGTGATATTAATCGTTAACTATCAGTATACTGTTTGATGGAATTAAATAAGAAAGATGCCTGTGCAAAATATTGATTGTTGACACAGATGTGCTTCACATAAATTACTATTTCAGATACAATGTATGTTGTTCATATAGTCATATATCATGAAAAATAATGCTGTTTAACTTGATATTGTCTTATCTATGTATTCTTCATTTTTGTTTTTAGTTTTAGTTTTTTTTGGGGGAGGGGGGTGGTAAAAGGCTTAGATCACTTATTGTTAGGTTCTGCATGCAATAAATCTCTAAATCTCTGCTTATATTATAACCAAATTTATAGTTTATATGAATTTTATTTTGACATAAAGATACATGATTACCTTGCAGTGGTTACTTTTGCTTTGCACCATCAATCCTTCATTGATTTGTTTGCATGAAACTTCTCTTTCAGGAGCCCAGTAGTGTCGAGAAAATAATGGAAATTGATGCACACATAGGTTGTGCAATGAGCGGATTGATTGCTGATGCTCGAACACTTGTTGAACATGCACGGGTGGAAACTCAGGTATTGTTAACCATATAGCCTATATTGGGTAAGTTGATTAGCTAATGCTTGATATATTTTGGTTTCTTGTTCACAGAATCACAGGTTCTCCTATGGTGAGCCAATGACAGTTGAGTCCACAACTCAAGCTCTTTGTGATTTAGCCTTGCGTTTTGGTGAAGGTGATGAAGAATCCATGGTAAAGAACTTCTCAGCTTTGATATTTGGGTCTACTTTTTTATTTTTTCTGCTTGCTTATAATGCTTCTGTTTAGGAAAAATGATTTATGAACATTTCTTGGCAAGTTGCTTCTTATTTATGTATCTGCTAGAAATACTGATGCTTTATATATTGCCTTTGACAAATGTTGACTGGGAGACATAAACAAGAGTTATTTATCTAAAAATTTTGGAATGCACAAACATCCTCATATTGTATCAATTGTTAAATGTACAACATTTACAATTTATAATTAAATGTGTAATTCCTCGTGTGAGGTGCTTTTCAGACAGATTGGTTCAATAGCATGTTCCATTAAGTGTTTTTCTTTAATACAAAAGTACTAAATGGCAGTGTTCCTGTTGCAGTAGATCATTATGTATGTATTTTAACATGTGCCATTTCTTTTCTCTTTGGCAGTCCCGACCATTTGGAGTATCCCTTCTCATTGCTGGCCATGATGAGAATGGACCTAGCTTGTAAGTATTCGTTCCATATATAGCAATGGCTACTTGCGGGTAATATGATGTAGTTGTCCTTTTGGCTTGTATCTGTGTCTATCCAGTGATTACTTTAAAGTTTTGTTTGTTTGAATCTATGATATTGGTGATCTTTTTAAATTGATGGTGTTATTCTAGTATATTATGCTTTTCTCTGGGGATTAATGAAATTACAAAGAAAGGAATTCTGGACAAAACTCATTTCAAGAACAATTACAATTTTGGCTAGTTGACCATGATCACAGGGTGGTTAATGAGTAACTTCTTATCAACTTGATTAACTACTTGGATGTTTAATGGTTTCTAAATTAGACATATTTTTTTCTAGAATTCCATTTCTCTAATTTCTCTTTTCTCCCTGGTTCCTTGAGGATAACTTGTCTTTTTATGTTATCACTTGATGCCTTTCTTTCTATTGTTAGACTGTTCGTTTAAGCTTAAAAAAAGTCATTTTAAGATTGTGTAGTAATGTGAGTTCTTTGTGGCAATTGTTTTAGAAGATATTCATTATAATTTCACAAAATAATATAAAATCAATTTCTATTTTGTTTTTTTTTTAAAAAGCTTATGGCTTTCCCTAACATGTTAACATATTTCAGAAGTGATTTTTTAAGTGGAAAAAAGTATCACTGTCTATTTTGTCATTCTTTGTCAAAGAAAGTAGGAACTGTCTTTTGCAGTTATTTTTGTAGTCATGTAATACTGTCTCACCTTATCTCTCTTTTTATGGTTTAAAGAAAATGCTATTTTAGGTTCTACAATGTGCCTTATCTTACCATTGATTTGTGGCTTGAATTCATTGTGTGGTTCAGTTGTCTATCCTGCAAGTTCAACTCAGTAAAAAGTATATTTTGATGTTTTAGCTTCTCAATTGAAATCAGTCCATGGTCACAATCACAACATGTAACTTTTATCTATAAACCTTAACTAGGAAATAATTGAGGAGTAGCATGTAGGTCTCGTATCTATAAAGCTTGAAGGCTCAATTGTAAACAACTTTCATATTCATGTATGTCACTGACACTAATGCAGATTATTGTTTAATCTGTAAATAAATGTACAGCATGGGTATTCCATTTTTAAGGCCTGGGATATATTACATAAGTCACCAGAAGATATGTTATTGCTGCTGGTCTTGTTCCTATCGTTTTCATTTTGAACTTCTTTACGTTCACTGAATTAAAATCTCCTGATTTTCAGATATTACACTGATCCATCTGGCACATTTTGGCAATGCACTGCAAAAGCTATTGGTTCAGGGTCAGAAGGTGCTGACAGCTCCTTGCAAGAACAGTACAACAAGGTATGAACAATTTTATAGTGATTGTTTCTAAACCTTATATTCTGTTTATAACAATAAACTTATAGTTGACTATGATTGTAATATTGAAAATTTGTGAGAGCATAAAGAAATGACGAGACCTCAGACCCGGCACACTTGGCAGGGCAGGTAGAGTATAATGAAAACCATAATTATGTACCATTATAAATAATGTATCAAAAGAGGTAATACTATTCAAATAATGTATCACAATTTCACAAAGATTAAACTTCATCTAGTTTAACTAGTTTTTATTTTACTCAAAAAGAAGATAAAACAAACCATGTGAATGATCTGCATAATTGGTTTTTTAATCCTGTTTTCATATCCCTGTCTTATCATTCAAGTATACTGAAGTTAACTGTTCGGTTGACATCAAGGTTGTCAAACTCGAGAGTCTACACAAACTCGTGGAGCTCTCGTAGACTCGACTCGTAGACTCGACTAGTAGACTCGTAAGAGTCTACGTAATATTAAAAGATATTAAAAAACATGAACACACACAATATGATATCACTATTTCAACATTCTAAGTCTGAAATAAATCAAATAACAATAAAATGTCATAATACAAATCTTAACCATACATGAACAACCAAAAGTCGAAAACACATAAGTCCACAAACCAAAAACATAAAACAAGATCTAAATTTATCAATCACCACGACGACGGTGACTGGTGGGTGTTCGTCGGAAACTGTAGGGATCACGCCGGAAGCTACGATGAAGGCGCTGGAAGCTGCAACGACGGCGTTGGAAGCTGCAATGACGGAAAATGCATTCGTATGCGGTAGAGATGCGCGTTCGTATGCGGCGGAGGGAGAGAAATCAGACTCGCGAGCTTCCTTCCTAACTGGACTCGTTCCTCTCCCAGCAAGAGGACGCGTGTTCGTATGCAACGGCATTCGTACGCGGAGGAGATGCGCGTTCGTACGCGGCGGAGATGAGCGTTTGTATGCGGCGGAGGGAGAGAAATCAGATCAGACTCGCGAGAATGGTGGAGGCATCGTGTGCGAAGGGAAAAATGCCATTCTCACTTACTAACCCTAGCTAAAATGACGTCGTTTTGGGGCATTTAGGGGTGGAAAAAAAAACCTAACTAGACTCGTGGACTCGGCATCAGACTCGCGATTCTGACCGAGTCTACCCGAGTCTGACCGAGTCTACCCGAGTTTACCAAAAAAGGAGTCTATTCGCGGGTTAACCCGTTTTGCTACCCTAGACTCGTACGAGTTTACGAGTTGACTCGCGAGTTTGACAACCATGTTTGACATAGTTCCTTTTTTTTCCTGTTTACATTTCTATGAAGCATAATGATTGTCCAGCTTTATGTCCGGTTTGTGTGCATTGTCTTGGATAATGGATAGTGTTAAACTAGTCAAAATCTCTGATAATTTTGATAGTCAAATTAATGCAATGCCATTGTCAACATGTTCCTCAATTGTTTTGGAGTTTTTGTCCATCCACTGCCAATGTTGCTCTGAAGGACTATCGTTCATGCTAGAGGCTTTAAGTGCATGTTTGGTTCAAGTTTAAGTGTATCTTTTAGCTTCCTGAGAGCGCTTTTAGAAAATAAGTGATTATTTTTCATAAATTACACCGAATCATAAGACTTGAAAACAATGCAATTTGGTGTTAATTTATTTTATGTTGTGCAGGACCTAACACTTCAAGAAGCCGAGACTATAGCTTTATCCATTTTGAAGCAAGTTATGGAAGAGAAGGTAAGGATAAAATCATATACATGGTCTGCCAATTGATTGACGTGAAATGGAATGGAAAATAGAATATAATGTTTCTTTTTGTATTTTTCATCTTAGGTCACTCCCAACAACGTTGACATTGCCAAGGTGGCTCCAACATATCATCTTTATACCCCCTCTGAGGTGGAAGCTGTGATAAGTCGTCTATGATTTTCTTTTCATGATTTTCTCTATTTCTGCCCGTACCTCTAATTATGCGGAAACTTTTTTGGTGGATGATGCTACATGTAGTGCTACACGTGTGGCCAAGTTGTACTCTGGTGTCATATTTGCTGCATTCAATCTAGTTGGAATTGAGGACTAAAAGGGTTTCAATGTTTAGAAAGCCGAGAACTATACCTGAATACCGTGCTTTATTTTTTTTTAACTGTAGAAGATATAAAGGATGGGAGACGTTGCAGATAAAAAGATTTGTTCAACAATCTATGCGCATTATCTACATACTATTAAAAGAATTAAGTTTTATTTTTTTACCATCTTTTAATCCTTGAAGTAAAGAAAATTGCTCACCTCAGTCAATATTTTATATGGTCTTAAATAAAGTTTGCCATCGAATAATTTATCTTAAAAGAATTATATTGCTTTATTTTTTTTAGACAAATTATATCGTTATTTATTATAAAACTTTAAAATCTGTTTATTATACTCAGAATAGAATTATTTGTCATTTGAAATAAAATTTGGCTATAATAAAATTATAAAGATATTTTTAAATGTTTTCTTTCAAAAAGAACTTAAACTAATTTGCTATTAAATTATATATTATTTTTTATCTCATGTTTTCTACCAACCTTTATCATTTTGCTATAGTTAAAATAAAAACAAGTTAAATGGATTAGTTATAGTACGTGTTGATTTTTTTTTTCTTTTTTCTTCTTATTTGTTGTCTCTTTATTGAGTTTATTCAGTAACTTAGACGGGTAGTATTCTCAATCTCTCACGGAGTAACTACATTTTTTTTATTTTACTCAACTTCATTCTTAAATTATATGAATTATAGTTGTGTATCGAGTTATTAACTTATTATAACTATATTATTGTACTTGAATTATATTTTATATTATATGAAAGTGTTTGGACTTTGGTCCAGCATATGTTTTCAGAAGTTATCCGCTATAGTTTCTACGTTTTTTTTTTTTTAATATAAAGTGGACGTGTTTGCTGTGGGCTTTTTGTTTGAATAAGACGAGAGATATCTGTCACGCACACGTGAAATCAAGCGTGAAAGAAGCTATGTATCACTGATTTGTAGTGGTTCTCCATTTCATATTTGGTTTATTCCCTGATTTAGAACTTAGAGCATGTTTCTCAACTTGCTTGCAATCTTTTAGATGGAATTTTACTCATTCTAATATACTAAACGTAGAAGCAAATGATAATAATCTGTATCTATACATAAAAAAGATTTCTTGTTTTAGTATACATATTATTTTTGACAATTTTAACCATACTTAAAAATGCATAATAATAATTAATAAAGGACAGAAAAGTTTTTTTATATATATAAATTTTATTCTTGATATTACTTTCACTATCGTGTATTTAAAGAAAGATACTATAAAGACATGAAATACCTTCTTTTTCACTCATAGTAATAAAAAAGTGAACAATTTTTTGACTTAATAATATTTTTTTTATAATATCATACTTATAAGTAACATTTAATAATAACCATTAAATTTTTATTGGTTGGTAATGTATCGTATAATCATTAAATTCTTGTAAAATATACTTTAATTATAGAATTATATTTCTATAATTTTGTGATATTTTTTTATCTAACTATATATAATGTTAAGACTAATATATAGCGTTAAAAATTTATATATTGCGTTAAAAATTCGGATTGATATAGTCTTGTCGTATATGTTACTGGGTCTTAATCATGCTTAAGTTAAATGTGAAATCTGTAAATATTATATTTCACACTATTTTGTTCACTTAATCATTAATGCACGAATATTCCACGTCACAAGTAATGATAATTTTCCAAATTACAAGTTGAATACTTTTTAAAATCTCAATCCTCAACTATTCAAAATATATTTTAGAACTACTGAAACATCAGATTTGGAATATATTAAGGTAAACTCAGATTAGTTTAATATGTTGGCCAAATGGCAGTGTTGCTTAGCCTATGTTTGGTTCCATCATGTTGACCCACTTAGTACTAATTGCAACATAAAAATAAAAAATATATATATATATAAAAGCCTCTAATGTGGTGAATAGTGGTTTGGCTAAAATAAAGCAAGAATAAGTTTAAAGACAAACTTGATTCAATATCTTAAATGTGAAAGTTACAATTATGCCGCTTATGGGTGTGATTTTTTGTGCCTTCCAACTCTCTAAACTCTTGCTTTTTTTTTTTTATAAATAATTTTCTATTTATTAAAAAGTGAAATAAAGAGGAAAAAAATAGGGGTGGGTTTGATAAAAAAAAAAATCTCTATTTTTTTTCTTCAAACAAACAATGATAATTAGTATTTTCTATCTTATAACATTTTTCTTCATTTCTTTTTTCTATATTTTACTCGACTTGGTTTTTGTAGTATTGAGATTTGTCTAACTGGGTTTTAGGGTACAAAACAAATGGATTTTTGTGGTGATTGTAATTCAATTTATACGTATATTGACAAAAATGTCATTTTTAAATTAATATTATATTATTATTTTAATAATATTTAAATAAAAGTATTTCTTTTTAAAAGTTATGCATCTAAACGGATTTTTATTTACAGCAATGTTATTTCTTTCACCATATTTTTATATTATTTTTACGCTCTCCTTTTCAGAGAGATTTTGTTAAAATTTTCTTTCCTCCTTTGTTTAAAAAAAATGCTGGTTATGTAAAAAGAGTCTTCGAGAAATATTAGAATACTTTCGATCTTATTAATTTTTTTTAAATGACAACATATTACGGGCCTGCATTTTATTTAATATTTTTTTTTCATGATATGTAATTTTTAATAAATTTTATTAATAAGTAAAAGTAGTGTAATTTTAGAACTTCTTTTATTGTTTTAGCATTTTATTTGATCCTTTTTATAAGAATCAAATTAGAAATATGGAGAATTAAATTAGCAACAACGCTTAATCTAAATAGTATTATACTCAATTTTATCAAGTAGAATTTTAGATTTAAATTTTGTTGATAGAAAAAATTTATTTAAGAAAGTAACTCTATTAAAGATGATTAGTTAAATTCTTTGATAGAAATTAATCATCCACAAAATTATAGTTATAAAAATAATTAAAAAAAATTTAAGAATCAATAAAAAAAAAATTGTTGCATTAGTTATCTTTTCAAAGTGATATTTTTGAGTTCAATAAATAGTAACTTGGATACATTAATATCTTTAATCTAACTTTATGTAGAGAGAAATTTAGAAATCTTAATTTTCTTCCCTCACATGCATACATAATTAATAAAAATTAAAGCATACATCATTAATTAGAGAACTTAAAATAATTAAACTCAATAAAGTAATAAACTAACATGTCGATGTCATTGATTTGGTGAAATTAATTAGTTGGCTTAAACCAAGTTTGCAAAAACTTCAATGCACTTTTGAACATGTTTCCCTATTGTTTTCTTCACGTTCTGCTACCACTCACTACCTACCAACCAACTTCGCCGCTCTCACTTTCAGCGTCACTCTCATTGTGCTGCCATTATCCACATGGTTTCTGTGTAAAACATAACAGGGGAAACTTTTTAAACTTGACCAAGATTATTCAAAAACCCATATGGATTCAAATTCAACAAAAGAAAATTAGTTAAGTATTTTTTTTTAAATATCTACTAACATTATTGAAGAAACAAAAGGTTTAATCTGCTTTGAACAAAGCTATGTTTGCAGGTGATCGGTAGATTAATGTCACACGACATAAAAAGACTGTGCATGCACCCACAAGCAAAAGTCAAAGGTACGTTGGGAGAAATATTATGTAGAAGTTCTTTTGCATAATGTTTTTTTTTTTCTAAAAAAATATTTTTAACTTTAAACTAATTTTAATGTACGGAAAATCTTATTTTATTTATTTTTTCCTGTAACTACTTTTAAAGAAACTCATTCAAACAAGCATAAAGACAAGACCAAATTGTTTTTTTTTATTTTATGGTGTTCTACTTCATAATCTAAAATCAAAACAGCTTGCCTCTTTTAATTTTTACTACATAATAAATACATATTAGTTATTAGTTAGTTATCAGTGTCCAAATTAATTAAAAGTTACGTAAAACTTTAGAATATAATTAATAAATAAATAAAATGATATTTAGAACTTTGAAAATGACAAAGAAATCAAATTAAACAAATTTTTACTAAAAAAAATTGACACTTGAAAAGTGAGGGAGTATTAGTTACTCCTTCTCCTCGTTTATTTTTTATGTTTTAGCTTTTTTTCTTAATTTATTTTGATGTTTGACACATTTCAATTAATATTAACTAGCCTTTTCTATTTATATTATCATTTAACAACTGTTATTCCTACTTCATAATTACGTAATCTTGTTAAAAACATCAAATAAGGATATTTTAGATTTAACATATTAATGTTAAATATTTTTTTGAAGAATCTGTAAAAATTTTAAACATTAAAAAACTCTTGTGGTAAGAAGGAAATACTCACTTCATACAATTTTTTTTATGTTTTAGACTTTCTATTTTATTTCAAATTTTTGAAATTTTATACGTTTCAATTAATATTAATTTATTTTTTCTTCATGTGTCTCTATTTAATAATTGTTATTTTTATTCTATAATTATTCTTGTTATAAATATTAAATGAGGATAATTTTTACTTAACATACTAATATTAAATAGTTTTATAATTTGTGGAAAATCATAAAAATCAAAAGTACTACATCTATTCTTTTATATAATAGCCATTTAAAGTTATTTTGCATATCAAAAAGTGTAATCAACTTGTCTATTTTCTATAAAATGATTTTGAATTTTTTTTATTATATTCTCTTTCATTTTGTTTCATCATAAATGCATATTGGTGGAGATATGTAAATTAAATATAAAAAAAGTGTAATTAATAATATAATAATTAATTTTATCTTAAAAATTAAAAATAACAAATTAATAAAAATAAAATTTTACTAAAAAATTGAAGGAAAAAAAAAAGAGAGTAAGAGTATATGACTACTATTCAAGAAAGGCAGGCGATAAGAGGGACATGCATCCCAAGTCCAATTAATGAAGAGACAGAAGACAGGTTGACCCAAAAGACTATATTTTTTTGGGGTCAAAAGTCAAAACTCAAAAGACTATTAAGTTGTCGTAGGTACACTATTTTCAGACCGAATACTCTACAATGTAAGTAATGTAATGACCCAAAGCTAAGAACCTCTACACATTAACATTGATTATTCCAATTCCGACCGGAGAATCAAATCAATCAATGAATTGGAGCTGTGTCTATTCAACTCACAAAATTAATTAAGCATAGAGAGAACTAGCTGAACCATTTAAAAATATAATGAAAATTAGTTTGAACCATTTTTCTTTAATTCAAGAAAAGACGTTTTTAGCCAAAAGGAACGACGCCCACGTATAAGCAAGATATGAGTGTTATTTTTAATATCTTCGTGTGTTTTTCTAAATGCATCACTTCATGTAGCATAGCTCGGGTTAGGTCAAGTTCCAAGAAAAAATGTTTAAATCAATGAATTGAATTCAAGTTTTTTTTTTTTTCTTCCTATTCGAACCCCTGACCTTACTTAAGCGTGGATCAACCTCTACCACTGAACCACACACTTGGGGTTGAATTGAATTCAAGTTGAGTTAGATAGGATTTATATTATCATTTTTTTAACTAAATCAAATTCATGTTAAGTTGGATGAGGTCATCGGATATGGTATATATTTATATTTTTAAAATATTGTAAACTTAATTAAAATATATAAACAATTTATGTAAACACAAATTATAATATATGATAAGATTGTTGATTTTTACTTAAAAATTACAATAGGATAATTTTTAATTAGTTCACTGTTTAAAAATTGTATACTATAACAAGTAACAATGCATGAAAGCTATAATTACAAAATTATAATGTATGATAAGGTTGTTGATTTTTACTTAAAAGTTAAAATAGGATAATTTTTACTTAGTTGACTGTTAAAAGTTTGTATAGTATAACAAGTAACAATGCACGAAAGCTAATTATCAAGAAAAATAAAAGTAGTGAGATAATTTCCTATTAAATATTTATATTTTCAAATAAAATTTAAAGGTATTCATTATAAAACTAATATAAAATTGAAAGAATAAAGATAACAAATAATGATGATGTCAAATCAAGTTGAGATCAACGCATTTAGAAATTATAATCCGATAATAATCAATTATATCACCTGCCTTAGATCTAAACGTACCATCCCGAGTGTACTTAATTCAACTATTTTATTTTATTACGTTAGGTTGGTTAAATTCACAGATTTAATTATCTGAATCACTATTTTCTGTTAACTTACAAGTGATATTTGATAGATAAATATTAATTTATTTTAATATATATATATATATATATATATATACATATATATACTTATTTTTACAGGTAAAAAATATATATACGTAATCATTACTAATTCGGTCACAATTCCATATATGCTGCGGTTAAACGAGGGTACCACAACTCAATAATGAACTTAGTTTTAAAAACATTGGTAAGAATTGAAGCATGTGACACAACGGGACCATCACGCTCTGAAGATGTCCATGCCCAATTATGCAGAAAAGGCCAAAGTATATATGAACAAAGTCATTACTGGCAGTCAAATTTAAATATAAGTAAAGCATTGTCGTCCAATAACAAAATCTATTAAATTAATCCATGAAAATCTTGAAGCTAATTTGTTTTATAATCCGAATAAACTTATAGAAAGGTAGGGACAAGGAAAAAGCAGAAATCAAGTTTGTAAGGGAGTTGAAGAAGCCTAATCTTGAAGCCTAATTTGCTTGCGCTAGCTATTAGTAAATTGCAGAAACTTCCACATTAGATGAGCTAGAGAGTCAAGTTTCAATGAACCATTTGAAATCCCTGCAAAAAAAAGCCAAACCAAAAACAATTGTGAATTTCATTGTTGCCAAAACTGAAAAGACGGATCCAAAAACTTGATACTTAATTACTCAGCTAAACTAGCACCTAATCGAGTTGGCCTATATATAGCGCGACAAACAGTAGACTTTTATCTTCTAACAACAACATAGTTTCAAACTGAAGAAGGATAATTAAAATACTATAGCTATCAAATTAGAGGACATGGCAGTGAAATGAATAAATATTAATAGTTAAATTTCATTATAGTTAATTAAAATTAAAGTACATAAGTTAGGTGAGTTTTTTTTTTATTAAAAAAAACACGTTATTTTTTAAGTGAATATATGATTTTATAAAAAAAATATTTTGATTCTGTACATATAACTGTATGAATTAAATTTATTTCTTTTGCTCCAATAAAAAATGAATTTCTCAAAAATAATATATATAAAGCATATAAGGTGGATTCTTATTAATGTGAGAATTTAGACCAATAGATATGAATCATTAAATGATCAAGATTGAATAATGAATGCACATGACTTATTTAAATAGTCACGTGACTATAACTATAATTATAATTTTTATATTATTTATAAAAGTAAAATATTCCCATCATATATATAAAGGAGAATTTAACATGTATCTTTATCACCATTAATAAAAATTAAGATTAATCAAATATAACATCAAAACAAGACATTAAAAAAAAGTAAACTCGATCAAATAAAACTTGCAACCATATATTTACTATGATGCAGCAACTAAACCTTAGGGCAAAACTTCTAATATAAAATTAAAAAAACGAAATGAATAGATCAAACATTCTCTGCAAGCTTTTAAAAAAATGATATATATATGACGTGGCAACAAGATGTTGATAAGAGCAGGTATTGGTTCAGTCACCCTCCACCAGTTTGGCACTCGTGACTCTCTCTTCTCTGCCAACCCAAAATATATCCAAAAATGAAAAAAAATTAAAAGGAGAAGACAATAGAAGAAACAAAGTACTGCATAACGTCGCTGTCCGCCCCATGCAAGACAACTTGTCAGAGCACACCCTCTTTCCTCAGATTCTGAACAAAGAGAAAAAAAAAAAAAAAGTAGTAGCATCTTTCCAACACTCATGAGTCACGGTTCAGGACCAATAACAAAACACGAAAAACTCAATCCCTAATCACCACTATCAAGAAAACCCTTCTTTAATCATCACAATAATCATTCCACAGCATGCATGTCACTAATTAATTAATATTATATTTTTTGTGGTTGACGTACCTTTGTTTGTACTTTGTTGGCATCAGATAAAGATGATTTTTCTCACTGAAAATTCCCCCCACCACCTCCAAAAGATTGACCTGACGGCGCAGTATTATTATTATTATTTCTTTCTGCCTCCAAAGAACTCAAGTTGAAGCCATGTTCTCTCTGCGGAACCCCTCCATTCCCACTCATGCTTCTCACTATCTGACCCACTCCCAGAAAATCGCGGGTGAGTCTATCAGATCCTCCAATGCTACTACTACTCATTGCATGCACTTTCGGGTCTTTATTGTTGCCATGATCATATGCTTCAAATCCCGCGACAGAAAACCCTCCTGAAGAACCACCTTCGAAAATGGAAGAATTTCCACCAACAGCGAACGAGTTCATTAGGTCTTGAAGGTTACTATTACTCTGTTCATTTACGTTCACGTTCCCTCCGAAAATTCCACCATAGTTGGCAGCAGCAACCAGTGGCCTGTGTTCAGATTTCGAACCACTGCTGGAAGAAGCACTTCCGAAGCTTTTCAACAAAGAAGCGGTGCTGTTGCTTGAAGTTGCACCCATTTGAGCAGCTTTCTGAAGCAGTGCAGTTGCGGACATGTGAGCGATGGCATTGCCACTGTTGTTGGTGTTGCTGTTGCTGAAGAGAGAAGGAACACTCGAAGTTGTGAAGAAGTTTGTGCCCTCATTGTTGTTGTTGCCACCTCCATTTGCACTATTGAAGTGCTCAGGAATGGTGTTGGTGGTGTTGTTTGTGAGGAAGGGAAGGTTGAAAGGAGAACTGGTCATGCTGTTGTGGTGGTTGTTGCTGATGTGGTCAGATAACTGCATTAACCCTTGTTGGAACGGTTTGTTTGGGACCAAACCTTGTTGTTCTGGGTGGTAGTTTTGGTTCGGTTCGGACATGAAAAAAGGTTGCTGTGAGGGTCTGAAGGGTGAACCGAGGATGTGGTCGAATTGACCGGTTCGACCGGTGGCGCCGCCTAGGCGAAGTAGTTCGGTTTGCTGAGTACTAGGGTCTTGCATGTTTGAGATCTGAGAACCCACCTGAGATAGGTTTAAGGCCATGTTGGTGGTTCCGAATAAGTGGTTTCCAATGCCACCACCAAGGTTTGGGGGTTGTCTTGCACTCTCTTGAGCCAGTGCATCGCAGAATGCCCTGTGGGTGATGAAACTGTCTCTCCTGCAGTCATGGTATTACAAATGATTAGTAATCTTATAAAGTTGAGTAATTAAAAAACATCATAATTATGATTTTTTAAATTATTATTACGAGAGTTAGTAATCTTATAATAGTTCAATGATATAGTGTAAATTTCTACTATGTGTGTATTATAATTAAATTTTAATTAGACGGTGTTAGTTAGTAATATACTCCTTAACATATTTATTTTAACAAGTTATTTATTATTTATTAAAAATTATAAAATTATAAGTGAGATTTTTTTATTTTTTAATTTTAAATAAATTTTAATTTATATAAACAACATATTTAAAATATTGTATTGGTAGTATTTTTCTTCTGATTAATATTGTTTAGATGTCTCATGTTACTAGATTTAATTAATTGTACATATTCACGTGAAAGTGTTACACTATTACTTAGGGGACAAAAGATATATGATTACTATAATAATAAGATGAAGAAGAAAACTCAAAGGAAAATAAATTATTTGAATATAGTTGTTGAAACTCAAAACTTATCGTGGGGTTTAGACCTTAATTTGCAAATATTAAAAGAAGAAAAAAAATATTAAATTGTCAAGCTGAGTTGTACGAAGAAGCATAAGTTTATCATCCAAAATTCATTAATTGAACCAAGTTTTGCTAATTAATTATAGGAATTAATAATTTTGTTTATCATTACTACAGAGAGAGAGAGGTTTTTTTTTCTTAGACGATTTTTAACATTAACTTAAAATTTAAAAAAGTTACATGAAATCATTCACTTTAGAAATACTATAACAATGATATTAATTTAAAGGGGATACGTATCCTATATTATACATAGATTACTAGAATTAGAACTCAACTTTTTCCAAGTAAAAGACAATAAAAATCTTAATCACAAAATCACTTAAAAATATTAACATCCAAATATAAGAATAAAAGCCTTAATTAACCCGAGGACAAGCATTTGCGTGTATTTATGAAACGAGTAATTGGAAAAAATAATAATGTGATAGCTCTACAAGCGAATGAGAAGATAACTAAAAATTTTCCAAAAGGATGCACAGCAAGTAGGTGGAATAATTTCACTAGAACTTGATAAAAAGATTAATGAATCAATTAAGAAGTGCAGTGTGAGTTGTGAAGGACTTCAGGGTCTGGTCTGGGTGTTCATTAAATGGAACCGAAGAATATATGTATTGAATGTTGAGATAGAAAAAAGAGTTGATCGTGGGATTGTGCTCAAACAGGACTGAGTTTGACTCCAATGCTTTCTAAATTGTCAACAAGGATGTGCCCACTTTGTGTTTAATCATTAACATTTATTAGGTACTGCAGATCTCTGATCGATGTGAATTCAGCATGACCACTCGCTCCCACCAAATTAAACTTCAAATCGTGTGGAAGAGAAAGAAAAATAGTACTACTTCATAGAAAGAGAGAGAGATGATTTACTTGATTAGGTCCTAAAGTTATCATGAAAAGGAGCACCTGCAAGAGCACAGTACTGAACACATCTAGCCAATCCAGAAGAAAACAAAGCTGCTAACAACATATCACACACAAACACACACCCACACTCTCTCTCTTCTCTTCATGGCATAGCAACACGTGAATAACAAAAAAAAAGAAGAGGAAATGGGAGATAAAAAACAGCGTTGTTTCCAAGGTGAAATGGGAAAGCAGGAGTGTTTTTTCCATTTGCTTTATGCCTTTAGATGGAGAGAGAAAGAGAGAGGGTGCTGTTCCTCCGTGTGTTTGTTCTGAAAGCCCTATGACCAAGGCAGTTTCCAGAGATCATTCACGTGGGGGGATGTTTCCTTCCATTTCACATCCAAAGATGACAAAGGAAACCATACGAGAGAGAAGGAACCAACGAGAGTGGAAAGAATCTTAATCAATCAATACCAAGGAAACCAGACACAGTAGATTAAAAAAGCATCTAAGCCATTTTCCTCACTATAGCCACACTGTGTGTGTGTGACTGTGTGTCTTGAACAAGAATCTAATATAAGCCTCAAGCCAAACACTGTTCACCTTCTTCTGTTTATGGCCATTTCTGGCTGTGTTAGGCTAAAATTAGAATAATAAGCAAAAATGCTATTTAGTGAAATAAGTGTTTGGAAAAAGGGTAACATATATGCTAATTGAATTGCATGTGTTACCTGGAGAAGAGGGTGCCACAGTCACATCTGTATTCTCTGGTGCCACAAGTCTTAGAATGGGCTTTCCAATCGGATTGAACAGCATACTTCTTAGAGCACTTGTCACACTTCCACTTCTTCTCACCATGTTTGCGAGAGTAGTGTTTCTTAATCCCTGTGAGGTCTCCAAGAGCCCTTGAAGGGTCATGGTGGACGCATGTGGGCTCAGGACACAGATAAACCTTTCTCTTTGGCTCTTTTGTAGTCTTCTGCTTAAGCTTCCAAGGCAGGTTGTGTCCTCTTCTGTGTAGCTGTAGATTTTGCTCCCTTTGGAACCCTTTGTTGCACACCTCACATATAAACCTGTTTGTTGCCATTAGGGTCTTGGGAGATAGTGCTATCACCTCCGCATCTGGATCTGTTACCATGGAAAAATGCCAAACAACAAATTATTAGAAAATTAATTAATTTACACAAGGTAAAAAAAAATGAAAACAAACAAACAAAACAAAACCTGGAAAAATCATATTCAGAAAGCTTCAATACAAAGATTTCCAAAGACATACATACCCGTTTAATTTCAGTTTCATCTGTCCGTTTCACAAATTAGGGTTCCCTTGGGAATTCATATATACCAAATGAAAAAAAAAAAATTGGAATAAAATCTATGAAAGGGGGCAAAAATTGTATCATTGATATAGGAAACGGTTCATTTAGAGATTAGATCTTAATTTCTGATAAAATATTGAAGATACTTGCATGGTGTTCCTGGTTGGTTTCTCTTTTTCTTCTGGGGTGGTGGTGCAGCTGGAGGTGTTGATGAAGGTGGGGTCAAGGAATGCTGTTGCTTCATCTGGTTCTGATCCTCTTCTCTAAATCCAAAAAGCGATGCTGAGGAAGATGATGCCGCCATCTCTTATAGCAAGTCCTATGTATGGTAATTAATTAACCTTCTTCTGCTTCAGCTGGGAGTGTGTTTTTTCTCCTTGAACCTCAAAACTCTATCAGAATTCTGGAAAACCCACATGCAATTTGAGTCCTCCTCAATTCACACCCCCAATCTCAGAAAAAAAAAGCAATAGAATGAATACTGGCAGATTAACAGCAAAAGAAAAATCTAGAGGGAGATAGGACAGAGAGAGATATTGAAGAGGAAGAAATTAACAATAGAAAACATTCAACCCCTCCATATGAGATTTTCCTCCTGAGGTTGGCTTGTTATAAAGGAGAAATGAGAAATTTGAGATGGTATTAATACTTCTCAGTTTCTTCACTGATTTGTTGTCATGCAGATACACCAACACATATACACACAACATTTTCCTTCTATCTCTTATTTCCTTTTTCTTTTATTATTCCCTGCCTTATTTTCCTCTTGAAAAGTTTTTCCAGATTTTGCTCACTTCTCTCTTGTCATAAATGAAATTTTTACAAAATGGAAAATTAATGAGAGAGAGAGGGTAAGGCCTACGGGTCGGTGGACCCAATCCTTAGCCACATAACGACATAGTATGTGTGAAAGCAGCATGAAACAGCTACACCACTCTCTCTCTCTCTCTATCTCTTATTTCGTATCTTCTTACTCACTCCCAGACAAACTTTCACTCATCACCCAGCCCCACTGGACCTCACACAAATTTCAAAAGGACAATCAATGAAACTCTCAAACCATAGAGAGAACACAAAATAAAGAATCACACTAAGCGTTGCCTTGGTAAAACAAGTTAAACATACTAAGCAAATGAAAATAATAGTTAACAAGTATATGGTATATAATATGTATATATAGATGTTTTGTTTTTCTTGGTTTCATATATATATACATGGTAGGTTTGGTTTGTAAAGTGAAAAACAAAACACCTGATGGTTGATTGGGTGAGGGGTGAATGACACTGTTCGTCTGAAATTCAGCGGAGGCAGAGTGTACTGTACTGTTACCGTTTAGGGTCACTGACATGGAAAGGGCAAAAAAGGATTCTGAAACTCTATGTGCTGTGTTTGGCTGACTTGGGTTGAGGTCCTTCTTCCCTTCTGTTGTTGTTGTTGCATGCAAATGATGCAATGCAGTGGCTGGCTGGTCCTTCCCAAGAGTCACATCAAGGGAAGGGTAGTTTCGTCATTTCACTCAAAAGTAAGGAAAATCACAATCAGAAGACCCAAGAATGGACCTAATCCAACCACTATGGATAAACAAATCACAAGGAATTTTTTTAGAATCAGAGTGCACTTGCTAAGCTCACGGTCTGTCGCTTGAAACCGTGAGACAGCTGAATTCTAGACCGTGGATCAAAATCACTGTCAACTATGCACCTTTTTTCTGAGATATTACCATGGAATAGAATAAAGTGAAATGTGTGCTTTTCGGGAATTATGAGGTCTTTTGAAAGGGATAGTTAATAATATTATTATTGTGTTTTTTATAATTATTTTGTTCAAGACCGTTTTTATTCCATTTCTTTGCTGTCTTTTCTTTAAACATTATTATTTTATTAATATGAAATAAGTTTCAATAAAACAGCCAATTGTTTTCAAAGAATGACAGGTTAACCATAAAGAATTATGATTTTTGACATTGATATTAACAAGAGATAAAGTCAAATTTTGCCAGTCAAGTTTATGCCAAGGATTTCTATAATTTTAAGCATGTTGTCTAACTACTTCATATTGTAGCCTTATCTTTTTAAATACTGCATAATAACACAATAATAATATAATTGAGCCTAGCTATTTATGGAGAGACATTATATATTGGTTATGAAAGATTAGTCGGTTAAATCTACTGATTAAAATTTACAGATTAAAAGGTTGTTTACTCATCTAACAATAAATTTCTCTTTTTCAAAAAAAAAAAATTCCCTTGACAAGTTTTTAATTTTTTACTTTTTTTTTTTGATTGAGGAAGACAAGGTTGTAACACAATACTTGCTATTCATGTTTTTTTTTTAAAAAAAAAAACCAAATACATCATATAGAAACTAAAGAAATTTTACAATCAAAACACAATTAACTATAATTATACTAAGGTTATTTAAATTTCGAATGTTTAGTTTCATAATTAATTTGGCCTCCTTTCCTTAATATACACAAATAGGTATATATATATATTCAAACAATTGACAAGCATATAAACAGGCAAACATAACTTTGGTTTAGACACCTAATTTCTAGACTTGAAACCCATTTGGAAGTTGGTGAAATTATAGTGTTGCTGATATGGATATTAATCTTAACATCAATCAATCTGTATTTTATTTTATATAATTTGATTAATTTTTAGGTTGATCATATGAGAAGGGACCCCAGAACAAATTAAATTAATAAATTTTATTGTGCAAGGAAGTCCCAATCATCGTTTTCTTTGTTGGTTTGCATTTTGTTGCCATTCTTTTCGACAAAGATCCAAAGTACAAGAAACCAAACGAAAAACTTTAAAGAATAATGGTGTGTAATATAAAAGGATAGGAGCCTGCATCCATAACAGTACTGCTCTCTGCTTAGTCTTTAAGTCTTTAAAATATTCAAGCATAGGATACAAAAACAGTCAAACAAAATAACTAATGCTTGTTTTTTAAAAATATCTTTTAGTTTAAAAATATATTCATATTCAAACAAGAAACGTTTTATTCAACACCTAGGTCAGCAATATATAAGAAGTAAAACCAACAGTTACAAAAACATTGAAGAAAGACATACACATACATATATAGAGATGTTATTAAACGCCAAGTACCAACACATTGCACACATATATAATTGACACAACTATGCGAGTATATGAATTGAAACCAGTATTTATCAATGAAAAGCATTTAGAGACAAGGACTCTGGTGAGACTCTTTTAGACTTTTAGTGACAACTCATAGTTCATGCTGCTACACGAAGACCTTCATCAGAAGGACATGCACGCCCCCAATATGATTTTCAACGGGCGGCGGCATTTTCTCGTCACAAAAATTAGCATTGTCTTTTCTCAGTTTCTACCTGTCCTCATACCAACTACAATCCAAACACATTCATCACGTACATGACTAAGTATTGAAAAAGGTCAAATACTGTGTTGTTATTCTGGCTTTAAATGTAATAGGAGCTAGCTAAGAATCTAGAACTAAGGGGAAGAATATTTTGAAGCCTCACTAGTCTCTTTGTCTTTGGAGATGATAATTTATTATATACAAACTCAAAATAGTTAAAAATAAATAAAAATGAACCCAATCCATGAGTTGTCAGGTAAATATGTTAGGCTTAGAGACTCAATCGAGTTTGTTGGTCGAAATCCATCTTACGAAAATATTAATTACGGGAAGTGTAAATAAATAAGTATAAAATTGGAGTGAAACTTTTGAGTTTAAATTAAAATGAAAGATATAACATATTTTAAAACAGGTTAAATTACTTAATAGGTCTTGAACTATTTAAGAATTTTTAAATAGATATCTCTAAATTATAAATAATAAAAATTGGATTTTTGATCATGTAATTTTTTTTATTGAGTTCTTACTGTCTTTAAAATTATCACAAATACAATTTAGAAACCTAATCAATAAATTTAGTTTAAGAACCTATTTGAAAAATCTCAAATAGTCCAGTTGTCCACTTAGTAATTTATTTTTTAAAATATAAAATTATTCAACCTAAAAAAGTGTGAAATTAATTTTAGCATAGAAATTTTGGTGAAATGGAGGAAGAAAATAAACTATAGATTACATCAAATTTTAAATATATAAGTTGGACCTATTCTATAAAATTAAAAACTAAGTCTAATTTACATATTATCTATCAAATATTTTTTTTATAAGTTTAGCCTGATCTTTTTAAAAATTTTGATCTATTAGTCTATTTAAAAATTTATTTTACATTAATAATATTAAATAAATTAATAAATTTAATTTTAAATAAGTCAATACAAAACTATATTTAAATAGGTGTGCAAGTCTCTTTTAATTTTTGTGATAAAAAAAATAGCTCACTATATTATTATTAAATTTAGAGTTTAAAATAAAAATAAAAAATTATTGTAAAGGAGCCAACCCATGCATACTCATGTACACTAATGTACCCTCACGCACATATAATGGAAGAATATAATCTTATTCAAAAAAAAAATGTAAAATATTTAAGTTAATAAAAATGTCAAAAATAATAATAATTTAATTTTGTATTACAAATTTATTTGTTTATTATATTATTAATAATATAATATGTATATTATTTTTATTATATTATATAAATAAATAGGACTAGCCTACTGGGTCACTTTTTTAATAAATTTAAGTTCAATCTTTTTAAGTAAATAGATTTTTAAAAAAATCTAAATCTGACTTTTATTAAACAGATTAAATCATAGGTTTTTATTTAAGACCTAACATATTCTTATCTCTAGATAACATATACTACTATGTAGATTTACTAGCATAAAATTATTCTAATTTAATCAATAGGGTTGAGTTCAAGTTTGAGAATATAATTGAATCAAATACTTTGACAAATAATTTTATTATCCATAATAGTCTTATTGGCAGGACAAGAAGATTTAAAAAGTTAAAAGTACGAGAACTCCAAAGACTATAAAGAATTTAAAAACATAAATGTAGAGATTAAAAATATTTATTTAAAATAAAGACTAAAAAAAGTAAGCAAAATTATAAGAATTAAAAAAATATTTTAACTTATTATTTTTAATTTTTTAATATGTCTGGTCTCAAATTCTAATAATAATAAATTCTTAATCTCAAATTTAGAAAAAGAAGAATATCCCTCAATTTGTTAATTGTTGAGTTTAAATTTTTTATATTTTGATTATGATAAATCTTATTAACAAAACTCATAAGTCTTATGACCGATGAGTTTGTTTAATATATCTAAAATATCAATTAAAATAATCTCAATATTAATTCAAAATAACTCTTAAAAGATGGATGAAAAATAATAAACTTAAACCAAATAAAATAAAATCAATATAACATAAATAGTGGAAATCTTTAAAAGATTATGAAGTTAATTTGTATATCTTGAACTCTAAAAATTCATTTGAGTAAACTTTAGTGATTGTAAAAAACTTAAAGATGTATCTATATTTTTCGTAAAGAAATAAAAAATTTATATAAATTAGATCATGTGCAAAATTACAAAAGAAATCTTTACAAATCAGCACCTATCATCTTTTTTAGTCACATTGACAAATTCAACCACCGCAACTGACCAAATCATAATCACCACACCCCTGCAATTGAGAGTCCATTTAGAAAAATAATAATAAGGGAGCCAATAAAAGATATAAGGGACAGACAATTGCATGATGTATTTATGTATTTAAGCAATGGTGGTATTTCACTGTTCATCCACAAGCTCACCAACGCTGGAAAGGAATGTAAAAACCTTGATTGGAGCAGGGAGCATTTGAAAAAGTATAATCTGCAGGAAGCTGAAGT